TATCATTTCAAAGAAAATTCACCAAAATATGCTTTTCATTAAAAAGGGGGAAAGAAAGGGATGCCTGGGTGGCTCAGTCGGTTAAGCATCTGTCTTCAGCTCAGGTCATGATCCCAGGGTCCTGGGATCCAGCCCCGCTTTGGGCTTCTTGCTCAGCGGGGAACGTGCTTCTCCCTCTGCCTGCCGCTCCCCTGCTTGTGCTCCCTCTCTCTCTCTCTGACAAATAAATAAAATCTTAAAAAAAAAAAAAAAGAGGGAAAGAAAAATAATGAGTCCCACAGTGGTTTGGGCACTATACGGTAGTATGTTTTCTCACTGTTTCCTTAGAGCACTCATGAGATTACAGGCATTATCCACACCTACAGATGTGGAAACCGAGGATTTGTCCAAAATCTAAATGGCAACCAAGTGGTAGAAGTAGGATTTTGGTTCACGTTTGCCTTATTACAAAATGTCTTTCCCTTCTACCAGACTGCCTCTGTAGAAGTGATGTCTTTGGTATTCATAACTGTCTTCCCCCAGACCTTATTCTTCCGTGATGCCGAGAAACTGCTAGAAAAGGAGCGCATTGAATGGTAGAGCTGAGGTAGATTGAGAGTACAGGTGTGCTTCCGTACCAAACGTGCTAACTATACTCTCACCATCTAACTCAATAGAAGAATACCGCAGAAGCCTGTGGAAACGGGAGAGGTAGTGGTCCAGGAGTCAGTTGTATGAGGCGTATGGCATTCCATTCTGCCAGAACTCAACCTGCATCCTGCTGTCTTAGTACAGTGGGAGGGTTTGAGAAATGGCTGAGGACAGTCTGGGAAAGAGGAGTAAACAGAGATGCCATGATTGCCTTTCCATATTTGAGCACCACATGAACGGAGAGGTAGTTCTGTTTGCCAGTGAGGAGACACTGAGGGAAATTTCCACTTGGGAACAGGAGGTCTTCGTGCCCTGCAGGAGAGTCTGGGGGCAGAGCGGACTGCTTTAGGAGATAGCAAATGCTCTGAGAAACATGGTCCAAAAACCACAGGCAAGGAAGTTTAGAGTCAGAGAGGAGTTGGTCATTCTGCATGGGGGGTGGCTAGGTGATCTTTGGAGTTCTTTGTAGCTCTGAGCATTGAAGACTTTCTATGTGGTTTTATTTGTTTTCAGATATCCATAGATATGATACATTCACTTGGATCTTTCTATTTTTGTAAATTTTTTTTTTTCCCCCTAGCATCAGGTTAGAAATTAGTAAGAAAACATTCCGTCACAAAGAATATTCCTCACCTCTGGGGTCCTGTGTCTTTAACAGTTAATATAAATATAGTCTCCCACGAGCAGCCCCTAACAATCGTTCTGTGTGTGCTGGGTCACTAGGCCGCTGTGAATGACTATTTTAATGTCCTCTGGGTGGGCCTCACCAGTCATTTAAGAAATTCAGTGCATGGCGGGCACCTGGGTGGCTCAGTCATCAAGCGTCTGCCTTCGGCTCAGGTCATGATCCCAGGGTCCTGGGATCAAGTCCCACATTGGGCTCCCTGCTCAGCAGGAAGCCTGCTTCTCCCTCTCCCACTCGCCCTGCTTGTGTTCCTGCTCTCGCTATCTCTCTGTCAAATAAATAAAATCTTTAAAAAAAAAAAAATTCAGTGCATGGCGATCTTTTGTCAGATGGTTTAGGAAGCACTTTACAGATGAAAAATAAATATAGTGACTATATGAGTTTCTTTCTGCTTATTTTATGCCCACCGCAGCCTTGTCAGTTCTCCATTTTGAAGCAAGGAATGTATATTCTGCCAATTTTAAGTGGAATCTTCCCATCAGGTTGAAGGCCTTGCTTTACTGCAGGCTGTCTGAAGGCCAGAGGAATTGATCTGGTCAAGTGGCAGCCAGCTGAGCACCACATTTACTTAATCTAAAGCAATAAACATAACAGTGAAAAAAATTTTTTTCTTTTGTAACAATGTAAAGTGACAGATGTTCACTAGACTTATTGTGGTGATCATTTTGCAGTGGATACAGATACCAAATCATTACGGTAGACACCAAAACCCATGTAAGGTTAATGTCAATTATACCTCCATTTAAAAAAGAGAAAAAAATGAATTGTAATAGCAGATTAAGGAAACTTATACTAAAAGACCAAAAAAACCCCCCAAAACCCATGGCAGTGAAGAGGTATTCCCCCCGGGACCCACTCAGATGGATATCCGACCAAGTGTGTGTTTTGGGGGGGATGACTATCTAATAGGACGTAAAATGTTAATTGTGGGGCTCGTTGCCCCCCAGCTGAGGCTGTTCTTCCACTGTTGAACAGATTCTGGTCAGTCCCTCACTCATAGACCCTGTACCCTGCACGCAGTTATTAACAACTGCTGTTCTGGCAAGAGACCAAAGTACTCTCCTGAAACTGGTGCCCGTATTTCAAGTCCCCACCACTTTTCACCCTCTTGTGTTGCTTTTATCACCATCACTATTATTATGGCAGCAACACTTACTATTTATTATATGCTATCCATGGGGTTAAGTGCTATCCCCCCATTATCGTCTTTAATCCCCACCACCATCTTATAAAGTAAACGCTATCATGACCGCCATTTACAAATGAGGAAAGGGGAGTTCAGGTACAGCATGTGTTTGTCAGGGTCATGCAGTGACTGAGTGATAGAGCTGGAAAGAATCCAGGGCTAGTTCGGAGTCCACACTATTGGTCACTCTGTTGTGCTGCCCATTATTTTGCTCGATGGAATTGTTTAAATCAAAGAGCTAAGTGCGTTCCATAGATATTGTTAGAAAATTTTTAGTACCTGTTTGCCTTTAGTACCTATTTACCCTGTCTTCTGTTGACAGAAGGGAAGAAATGAATTGTACTTAATAAACTAAGGAAACTCTGTGTGTGTGTGTGTGTGTGTGTGTTGTGTTTAAACAAATTGCTTATTTATATGATGACTTTACAAAGATGGTCTAAATCCATCACAGAACACCACGACCTCAGACAAGTTCAGCAACAACTTATGGCGAGATGCAGTTGTCCTTGTGACTGTGGAAATGAGGGAAGTGAGTCGATTATGCGTATTTAGTTTCTGCGATACTGCGATTCAAGATGGCCAATCTTGAATGACAGTGCCTCCAAAAATGCAGCCTTGTGGAATTCAGTAATATGCCAGGCCATCTGAGAAGAAGTATGTCTCTGCCTCTTCCTTCTTCCTACCTTTCTAAAACAAAATGTAATAAAGGAGACTGGAAAGATAATATTCAAATGTGATATCCATGATCAGTAAGTTAGATGGCATTTCCCCATTCCTAGGAGATAACTCATACAAATGTGATCCAAATTTGATGAATTTTTTGCTGTATGTGTTAGCGGGCTTTAAAAACTTTAGTTCTGGCATCTGAATGCCTAGCAGTGCTAAGCTCTCATGTACCTGAGGGCTCACTAAAGTGAACAGAGTAGCTGGATGCCAAGTTTAGAGCTTGGGGATTCTGGATCAAGCAGCTGCAAGACTAACAAGAGTGTGTAGGCAACACCCTAAAATAATTTCAAATTTACAGAGAAGTTGCAAGAATAATACAAAGAACAGCCATATATCCTTTACCCAAATTCATCGTTTTTAATATCTGGCCACATATATCTTAGCTCTTTCTCCACATACACTGTATGTGCACACATACACATGTGTTTATTTTTCTGAACCGTGTGAGAGTAGGGATCATACATCATGTCTTTTTTTATGCCTTTATACTGTAGTATCTATTTCCTAAGAATAGGGATAGTCTGTTACTTAACCACAGTGTAGTTATGAAATTCAAGAAATTTAACGTTGAAGCATGGCTTTCATCTCTCCTGTTTTCCATTTTCAGATGTTGTCAGTGGTTCCAATAATGTCCTTCAATAGCACTTTTCCCCTTCAGTCCAGGATCGAGCCTATGATCACATTTTAATTGTCATATCTCTTCAGTTTCTTGCAATTGGGAACAGTTCCTCAGCCTTTCTTTTTCTTTGATGAAATTGATGCTTTTGAAGGATACAGGTCAATTTTTAAATAGAAGATGTTCCTCACTTTGCAGTGACCTATCCCTGGCTGGTGTACAACACAAGGGAAGGTGTATCTTTTTCAGGATATTACACCTGGAGGCACACAAAGTCCATCTGAGCCTCACTGGTGATTAATTTTGGTCACCTGGTTAAGGTGCTATCTAGTTTCTTGGTTTCGAGTTTCATGACTCCCCAGCAACCAATGAGCTTTGTTTTCAAGCAGTTTCAGTCTTTGGGGATACAAACAAAACTAAATGTTGATAATTGAGAAATCAGAAGTATCTTTTCAAGTGTCAAAATATCTTGACAAGTCATAAATTCCTAGAATTGTATAGTGGATAGGGCGTTTAGAATTGAAAAATGTGTATGCTAGGGGCGCCTGGGTGGCTCAGTCGTTAAGTGTCTGCCTTAGGCTCAGGTCATGGTCCCAGGGTCCTGGGATCGAGCCCCACATCGGGCTCCCTGCTCAGCGGGAAGCCTGCTTCTCCCTCTCCCACTCCCCCTGCTTGTGTTCCCTCTCTCACTTTGTCTCTCTCTGTCAAATAAATAAATAAAATCTTAAAAAAAAAAAGGAAAAAATGTGTATGCTGTTAAATTTTGTAATAGACTTTTTCAGAGCAGTTTTAGGTTTATAGCAAAATGGAGCAGAAAGTACAGAGTACCATATAACCCTACCCCACCCACACACACACAACATCCCCCACTGTCAACATCCCACCAGCGTGGTCCATTTGTTATAATCAGTGAACCTACAACAAAGCATCATTATCATCCAGAGTCCATAGTTCCAGTTAGGGTTCACGCTTGGTGTTATACCTTCCAGATGTGTTTTTTAGAAGTCAATTTAGAGTGTCCATTTGCTGTACTCTTCAGTTCACTATTCAGGGCTGTTACTTTTCTAAATTCCTTTATAAGGAATACGTGTCTTTGTATCTTGTGTTTAATTATGCCTCTTCCTTTACTCGTTTTTATAATGATTATATCTTTCTAGTTTACTTCACTTTAAGGTCAGCTTTTAATACCATATCAACAGAGCGAGAGAAGCTGAAGCAGCTGATGGAACAGGATGTCTCCTCCTCCCCCTCTGCCCAGGTCATCGGCCTGAAACACGCCCTGTCATCCGTAAGTTGCATGTCTGTGTCACAGAAATGCCTGACCACCTGGCCATGCTCATGAATTTTTTTATATTTTCCGACTCCATGGTTGTGTTGAAAATTCATGAGAAAACCCAACAAATTATCCAAATTCTATTTTAACCTTGTATCGGATCTGCTAATTCTGAACAGCAAAACTGAGCCTACCTCCAATCTTAGTAACTCGTATTTCATGGAGCATTAGATACCTTAAGTTTGGTTTCCTTCCATTTATCTTGATTTTTCTGTTTCTGTAAAGCGTTTATTGTGTGTTTGTGTGGGTCTTCCAGATACTTGTTTCTCATTACAAAATCCAAGGTTTGGAGGTTCCTGTACTTCTTGAGCTTAGAGTGACTTTGCAAGTGACAGGTAGCAGAAGGCAACTTTAAATTCACTCATCTTCTCTGCTGCCCAGCAGTGATCCTGCTTACCACTCTTTCAAAGTTATTTGGAAGTGATTTGATTCGGTAAGGTAAAACTTTTAGCTGCCTTTTCCTGCATGGGCATAGAGAGGTGAGTCATAAGGAGTGTCAGATAATCATTGCATTTTCATCACAACAGAAATATCAGGCTCCAGCCTCAAGTCAGCCCTTCTGTTATTCACTCTCTCTCTACATTTTCCCCTTGATTTCAGTTGGACTCCATTCAGGTGCAGTGTCCTAGGACTCTACCTTGAACGGTTGGTGTTGTCTGGTTACTCACTCTGTATCTATCGAAAAGCTGGCAGGTTTTAAAAATAACATACTTATTATGTCATTTGTATTTATTTTACTTATTTATATATTTCTTTTATTTTTATTTTATTATGTTATTTCATTATGCCCCTAGTCTTTGCTTGTCCTTTCGAATCCCTAGTACAAATAGAGAGTGTGCGCACATGGGAAATTACCAGCTGAAGCAATACCAAACTTTTTGTTTAGGGTTAAGTTGGGGAGATGAATTTTAGGATCTTGTTTTCAGGAGCTAATTCAGGCTTCGAGAGAACTAGAAAATATCCGTTCATCTTTTCGATTCCTTACGTTACTGAGAAAAGTAAAGTAATGATTTTGGTGTGACCGTAATGGGAAACACATTACCAGTCGTGCATAGTTGTTGTTGAAGAATACTTAGGAATATTTCCTCACTTGGCGGTCCAAGTATGTTATCTTTGAAAGAAATAAAAAATAATGTGGCCTTACTCCACATAGAGGGTCTTAATGTCATTCACCCTGAGGAACTCTGGGTTTTCTAAGGTCAGAGAGAGAAACACCCCTTTTGGATTGCAGTGGACAGCCAGCTGCACACTGGGAGCTATTTGGGTTTGAGAGAAGAGAAGTGTGGTTTTGTTTTGTTGTGTTTTGTTTTTAAGTTTATTTTTTAGTGCTACAGAGCATTTCTTTGTTCCCAGTAGGTTGACTTTTAGTACTTTCAGAAGGTACCTCTGATGGGCTTCCCCAGCCCCTCTCAAAGCGGTCTTCCTGTCTCCCGCCCTCCTCCCTTGGGAGGTCTGGCCTCATCTTCTTAGTCGGCTTGTCTGGTAGAGGACATGGTATCCTAGGCCAGAGCTGTTACCCTTCTAAGGAATTTACTTTCTCCCATGTTCAGGATTTTGGAAACTTAAGATATAACAAAATGATCCTTTCTTTCCTTTTTTTGGCTTGGATTCTGGATTAAATTCAAAGCTTGTTTTTTAAAAATAACATTTTTAGTGTCCTCCCAGGGCTATCAGAATGCATATGTTTGTGCTGTATATGCAGTCTTGGCATTCTTCTTTCTTCTGCCTGTGGCTTACAAAGGAAAGAGAAGCTGCTAAAATAACACATTTTTCAGGCCATACTAAGAGTCTAACATTGGTATAGATTCTAGCCACTGACTGATGCTAAGATGCCAGCAAAATGTTGGTCAGAAAAAAGTGAGTACCCCATAGAGATTGTTACATGTACTTGTGTGTATTAAGAACATTTACTCAGTGTTTCCTAAATGATCCTCAAGAATTTCCAAATAACCCATTCCATTCCTGGGTATTAAAAAATAAAACCAACATCCTGCTTGAGATCCAGGCAGTAGATCAGACAGTGCCACATCCTTCTATGATCTCAGCAGGTAGACCCTGTGGGCACTAATGGATGGGAAAGGCTCTGAGCTTCTTGGAAGAGAGCCTGATAGACAGACAGGACAGATCTGTGTGCAGGCACCTGGAGAGCTGACTGTGGGAGTGTCTGGGGGGACAATCAGGCACACTTGCCCTTTTCCAAAGACAGATCATTTGGAAACATCTTCCTTTACCTTCAAGCTAGTTCCTTCCCATTTGGGAGGTTGGGATAGGGAATCTGACCCGCCCAGGGGTGGGTTTACATGTGTCCAGTTCCCTCCCCCAATTCCCAGGGCCCTAGTCCTTAGCCTTTATCCAGGTAAGTGAAAGTATGTCATTGTTGTTTTCAATTAAATGTCTTAGTCATGAAGAATGAATAAAACAATCATCACCTATATTGGGAAATAATAAAATGAATCCTCCACAAAATCCTAATTCCAAGCACACTTCTTAAGATCCAGTTCAAAAAAAGATCCAGTTCAGCTGGTATGAGAATTAAATAGCATTAAAAGATGTCCAATCATAAGGGGTGGGAGAAGCATCCTCTTTAAAGATGAGAGAAGCATGGGGTCATAGGGAGGGAGCTGGGGAGGGAGGGCCATGAAACCACTAGCCTAGTAAGAGCTGAAGGTGTTGGTGATTTCCTTCCCCACTGAAAGGAAATCCTCGCCAGTCCCTTCTTCCATGCCCAGAAGTGAGACCAGAGAAGGGACATCACTTCCAAAGTTCGGTGTCTTTGATCTCCCTGGCATCGCAGAACCGTATCCTGTTGGATAACATTCAAGAAAGAAGTCCAGGAAGTGCCCTCCTCAGGCACTTCTCACAGGACCGTCCCCCTGGGCCCACTGCTGTGCTTTTCTGATACATCCATTTATTAACAGAGCCCCACTATTTTTAACATGTTCCAGGCCCTAGCACAAAACACAGACCTTAAAGAACGCTTACGCAGAATCCATGCTGAGTCTCTGCTCCTCGATTCCCCCGCTGCTGCCAAGTCGGGTGACAGTCTGGCAGAGGTGGGTAAGGCTTCTCGGCTGGGAATGTTTCCACGACCGCCACCCCCTCACCTGACACCCTCTGTCCAGTCCCTCTGCCTCTGTTTCCCCCTCGGGAGTGGGGAGTGGTGCTCACAAGTCTGCCCGCCCCCCCCCCAGCTGCTGCAGGGTCTGAGCCGCCTGCCAGCCCCCCAAAGCTTTCCTGAGTATATGCTAACTGCATTGGTAAACTGCTCCCCCCCTCAGAAGTCTTCTTCCCTTTGTATTTCTTTACCCCCTTTCCTCCTAAGTATCACCTTTTCACTAGTTATTACTAGAGTCGGAATGCAGAGAGACAAACATTTTCTCCTGTTACTTCTGAAGAGGCCTCATTTTCTCTGCCCTGTGGTATCCCAAGTTGCCCTCTCTGTGACATCCCCTCCCCCCTTTCTTTGTGACCGGTACCTTCTTCTCCTGTGATTTTTTTTTTTTCTCTTTTAAAAAGCACAGCTGTACCCTGTGAAGGAAAAAATACTGTATTACAATTGAAGTGTCTTGGTCAACCAATAATATGTTAAAATGTCTCTTCTTAAAACTCAGGATGTTTATACAAAATGTTCCTTGCGTGTGTTTAAAATGAGAAACTGCAGAAAAGATACAAGTGGATTACTCAGAAAATAAGTAGAAAAGAATAATAAAGAATAATAAGGCTTCAAACCTGTTTTTAGCTACTGTATGTCTCAGATATGCTGTATTTTTCATTAACGAACTTATTAGACTGAGAGCACTTAAAATAAAAAGAAGGAAGGTACTATACAAGGGGTGTGTGTGTGTGTGTGTGTGTGTGTGTGTGTGTGTGAATTTTATTAAAAGGAGTTTCTGATGTTGAAGGTGAATCCCTCTTCCTCCTTCTCCTGTCCTCAAAGAAAACAAACCCCCCACACAATACTTCAGTCCGTGGGAAGCCGCATGTTCAGGCAAAGAGGAGGCTAGCGGCTGAAATTGGTCAGCACCTGGGGCGAGGCCTGGGCATCTGCAGCCACGGGGACCACGGGCTCGGCCACACGCCAAGGGGGACCTTGTTCTCCTACGCTGGGACCTACGCTGTCTCTGCAGAGGCTCCCAGGATGCTGTTACTTCTGAGACGTGTCGGAAGTTGAGCATGACATTTCTCCACAGACTCACTCCCCACCAAGAGATCTTTTCCGTCATTTTAGCCCAGACCTAAACTGAATCATCTTTAAAGCTGAGCACCTGAACATTACCGGGGTGACCTTCATTTTAGGCCCGGGCAGGGAAGTGTGCAAGGTTGCTGGAGCAGGGCGCAGGCACTCCGTGCCATCACTCTGTGTTGGTGGCTGCCAGACGCCGTGGCGTTCCATGGGGTTTCTTGTCTCTTGTGAGACAGTGCTTACCTTCTAAGTAGTACTGCCACCTGATTATATCTGTCTGTTTAAGCAAGCTGACCCCTCATTTATGGTTCTGTGTATTGATGCTTAGTGTGTATACTTGGGGCTATTTGCATTTTGGAAAGGAAACCAGAATCACAAGTCTTTACAATGTATGCTTTTATTTTATTTTTTTTAGAGATTTTATTTATTTATTTGACAGAGATCACAAGTAGGCAGAGCGGCAGGCAGAGGGAGAGGGGGAAGCAGACTTCCCGCTGAGCAGGGAGCCCGATGCGGGGCTCAATCCCAGGACCCTGGGATCGTGACCAGCGCTGAAGGCAGATGCTTAACCAACTGAACTCCCCAGGCGCCCCTTAACAATGCATGTTTTCAAACCGATCTCACAAGGAATGTACCTGAAGGCTCAAGTGTCCTTGAGGAGGGACAGTAGTATCCCCCACATTCACACTTTCCAAAACAACCTTCTGGAGTCCTGCTGATGGAGTGTTCTCCTTGCTGTTTCCTCTTTCAGTGATTTTCTGTTCTCCTTGTCTTATCCTGCTTTTCACTGAGTGACTCAGGCTCCCTTTCCCAGAAAGGGAAAAGCCATTCTTGTCTTCAGGAAACCAGAGAGTGAGTGGAAGTGGCCGCCCCAGAGCCTAAAAATTCCATTCCCGTTTATTTTTCTTAGGTGGCTCACAGACACCCCAGGCATTCTGTCAGGGAGTGACAGTCCCCACAGTGGGGTCAGCCCAGGGCACTCTGTTCTCTGTGTTTCTGTCTCATCCCTTACCTCTGGGTTGTGCAGATTACCCATCTTTGGCATCGAGCCTGGCTCCTAGATTCTAAAATCCCCCCTCTCCTATCAGGAATTACTCTCACATTCTATTAAGTTCTCCTGCTTTGTGTTTCTGAATGTGAACATTTAATATTATCAGCTTATTAGTTCTTATATTATTTTAGGTTTCAAATGAAAGGCTAAGTGACCTTGGGTGATAACATTCTACTAAACCTACGGTCCACTTAAGAGACTGATAAGGCAGGGCGCCTGGGTGCCTCAGATGGTTAAGCCTCTGCCTTCAGCTCAGGTCATGATCCCGGGGTCCTGGGATGGAGTTCTGCATCGGGCTCCCTGCTAGGCGGGGAGCCTGATTTTCCCTCTGCCTCTGCCTCTCTCTTTCTCTCTCTGACTCTCATGAATAAATAAATAAAACATTAAAAAAAGAGAGAGACTGATGAGGCAAGAACTTTTAAAGCAATGTCTGAAAGAGAAGAACAGAACTTTTTAAATTGCCTCTCTGCTATATTCCATATGCAGTTGAGTCCATTAACTCACAAAATCCTAGCCACAGTTCTTTGAGGTAGGTGATGATAGTTTCATTTTAGAGACAAGGAAACCAGAGAGGTTAAGTAGCTTCCCCCAGGGCACACAGCTAGTAAGAGTCCCAGCTGGGATTTCAGTCCACATCTGGCAAGTCGGAAGTGTTTTCTCAATAGCATCACTGCTATATATTGAGGAATGTACCAGGCCAAAAAATACGACAGAGTGAAGCTCCAGTAGTGAAAATATGCTGGGGATGGTGTGAGAATGGACCGAATCACTATCTCAGGCATAAACACCATTTCGTATGAAAGAGACAAATATCTGATAGAAGAGGCTCTAAAACCAATGGGGAAGAGATGGATTTTTCAATAAATTCAGTTGGCACAGCTCAAAAGCAATTTGGAAAGCAGTTTAAATCTTTCCATTGCCACTAAAATGAATCGCTAGTGAATTAGAGTTAAATATAAAAACTAAAATTGAAATAGATTGATTTAAGTATTTATCAAATGGCCAGAGTAGGGAGGACTTCCTAAACTTGGAAACAATAGAAAAATTACAAAAGAAATGTTGACTAGATCTGACAGGATATTTTTTGGGAAAAAATGGTGTGTGTGAAAAAATGAGGCAAATAATAAACGAAAAATATTTTCAGTGAAAATGATAGACTCAGATAATGCAAAAAAGGTGATAATGTTTTTAATGTGTAAGTAATTAATAGGTAGTAACAAACAACTGAAGACCTCAACAAATGAATGAGAAAAGGGACACAGTTCACCAGAAAAACCCAAATACACTGGGTTTTTTAAAAAACTTTGGATGTTGTAATGCTTATAAATTCACAAGAAGGTGCAAAGAAATGCAAAGAGTTCCCATGCACCCTGACCTAGTCTCCCCCAACGTTAACATCTCTACAGCTAGTTTTTTAAAAAGAAAAAACTGTTGACCTAATTCTTTTTTTTTTTTTAAGATTTATTTATTTATTTGAGAGAGCGAGAATGAGAGAGAGAAAGAGTACATGAGAGGGGGGAGGGTTAGAGGGAGAAGCAGGCTCCTCGCTGAGCAGGGAGCCCGATGCGGGACTTGATCCAGGGACTCCAGGATCATGACCTGAGCCAAAGGCAGTTGCTTAACCAACTGAGCCACCCAGGCGCCCCTGTTGACCTAATTCTTAACAAAGAAATGCAAATTAAAACGATTAGATTTACAAAATTTTTCTAAATTATAGTATTTTATGCCCTTAAAGATATAGAGAAAACAGAGGTTCTCTTATTTGTTAATATAATTAGGTAATATATATATTACTATAAACATTTTTAATAATTCTTCTGGGAACTGATTCTAAAAAATAATGATAATGTCTCATTATTTACAAAAGACATTTGCAAACGTGTTCACCATCTTTACAAATTTGGAAACACTCTTAACTTCCAATACATAAAAGGGTTACTCTGTAACACCCATATATAATAAAGTATTATCTATCAACTAAAGTTAATGTCTCAAAAAACTAACAGCCTGGGGAAAAGTTCACAATATAATGTTAAATGAATATATCAGACTATATAAAGACTATGTACAGTGTGATCCCAGTATTTCAAACTTAAATCTATGTATCTATATACAACCTATTCACATATACATACACACCATATCTACATACACATATATATATATATATACACACACAAATATTTTAATATTAAAAAATATACCAACAGGTTAATAGGGGCCACATCTGGGTGATGAAGCTTTAAATAATATGTATTTTATTTACATTTTTCTGTATTTTCTATTTTGAACACATACTACTTTTATCCTCAGGATACATGTTAATTTTTTAAAAAATGATTATGGTACAGTGTTTGGGGAAAGTTCATATATATATATGTATATGAGTACATATACATATGTGAGTACATATAGATATGAGTACAATTATTTTAAAACAGAGCAAGACCATGTGTATAAAAAGGATGGGCGAGAAATGTATCAAAATGCTTATAGTGGTTTTAGTGTGATAGGATTATGAGTGTTCCTCTCCTTCCCTTTTCTCTGTTTATCTTTTTTCAAGGTAAAAAAATAGATAAACAACCATTCAGACCTTCTAAACTTGTGGGGAAATCATTGAACTGAATGACCAAGTTGATATTTAACAAGTGCAGTCCTGTGTGTATAAGGTAGCATGCTGGGGCTTGGAGCTGCTGCAGTCCCATTGAGTTTTCAGTGGGTATTAATAGGAAGTTTCTGGAGGGGTGGAACACCACAAGGGGCTCAGGCTAGGTGTATAATTTTCACCGTTTGTCAGCCAACCCTGATCCACCAGTCTAGAAGGAGGAAGATAGAGAGGAAGAATGACTGGTAATGAATTAATGACTATAACAAGTAAATAAATCATTAGAGTCTTATATGGCCATGGCACACCAAGCCCCAGGAAGATTCTGTTGTTTTGGTGAGCATTGAAGGAGCTCAGTTATTCCCTGTGGTGTCTCCTCTTTTGAGGAGACCAGTCTTCCCCTTGAAGGTAACAAGTGTGGTACTTGTTTGTAGATCCTCAAGTGGTCTCTTTGTCAGGGCAGAGGAAGCATGCTTTTCACAAGGCTATATGGATATTAAAATGGGTAGGACCTTTGAATGACCAGGTGTCTTATTTAGGAAAAATCCAGGAGGAAGGGATAGCCATTTAAATGTGTTCCTGAAGTAAACATTTCATAAAGGGACCACTCTGAAAATCTGCTGTGGCCCTCCTGTTATCACATTCCCATTTTGGATATAAGTTGTTTATGAGACTGAAGAGTGTATCCTGAACTCATGAAATAACTTCTTGAAAATACATAATCCGCTTTTACTTTTGTTTCCCAAATTATTCTGGGACTCATTTATCAGATACACAATGACACAGAAGCAGCTCCCTTATCAGCCCCATGAGAAATGTGAGTGGTAGGGAAGTTGAGGGCAACAGTCTTCTCCTCTGGTTTGAAGGAATCGAATCATCTTGTCCTGAATTTGTTCTCATTCCTCAAGGTCTAGTCAGGTGTCACCTCTTCTGTGAAGCCCTCCCTAAACCAAAGCCTGAAATAGAATCAATCAATCTCACCTTCCTCTTCCCTTCTGTAGTACTTTTCTCTCCCGCAGTCTTGGTCTCCTGTGTTGGGTGCATTCTCTGTGCCACTCATTCAGGCCAGAAACCTGGTCTTATTCATCCTTATATCTCCCCAAAGCCAGGATAGAGCAGTTGTTCAATTTGTTGAGTTGTATTGAATTTGCACTTGCAAATTGAATAGAAAGCACATTCTCAAACAAAGTATTTCGGTCCTTCCCAGAGGGGAAGTTTAGACCCAGCAAAGTAGGGAAGGGAGGGCCATGCAAGATGAGAAAATCATGATATGCCATGGTGTTGTTTGTAAGGAGGCTTACAAAGGGGATTGGGAGTTTCCTTCCCTCTTGGAGTCATTGTGGTTAGAGAGAGACTGACAAAGAGAATTTATCTCATTCATCCATGAATAATGAATGATCTGCCACCAGGGGCACTTTTGGGCCAAACCACACTGTGTGTTTGTCAAGGGATGCCTCAAAAGCAGCATGTTGGCCTCTGGGAGAGCGTGGGGGCAGAAGAAAGCAATGTTGCTCTGAATCAGCCATGCAAGGACATATACTGAGTATAATTCCGAAGAAATTTTAGGATGAAAAGAAACATCCTGCAGTGGTAGAGAATAAGAGGATATGAATCAGAGAGTGTTGGAATTTTCCCCCTCTTAAATGGAAACGAAGACTGACCTGGACAGTCTGTTTTGGCTTTGAGATTTGTTGCATGTACCTAAACAGTGATGGTACCTATGAAGTGAGGTGCCCATTTGGGGGAGACCTTTGTTTTTCATTTTGTTTTGTGTGAGGTTGCTTCTCCTCAACTTGGGAGCTGACCTCTGCTTTGAGCTGCTTGTTTGCATGCGCCTGTGACCTTGTGTATCGTGCAATGAAATCAGTTGTTTATTTTGCTTCTCTTGAGACTGTTTCTAATTATATGCAATTTTGTGTTTGTGTTTCAAACAGGAAAACTCCAGAGATGACAGCCGAGCTCTGGTCCATCAGCTTTCCAACGAGAGTAGACTCTCCATCACTGACTCCCTTTCGGAGTTTTTTGATGCACAGGAAGTTCTGTTATCTCCAAGCTCTTCAGAAAATGAGGTTTGAGCACTGTTTTCAGTTAGGTGCCTCAAAACCTCTTTTGTTGCTTTACTCGTTCAGTAAATACCCATCTTTAGAAATGCTTAACTAAATGGCCTCTCTCTACCATTACATTCTGAGGATCTTCTTGTAACTCCTACCTCCAAAAACACAAAAAGATACAAGACCTTAGGGAAAGGTTGCAAAAGTAGGTGTTGGGTACTTCCTCATTTCTGTTACTTGATTTGTTGTACCTCTTTTCAATTACTTGTTAATCATTTTAACTATTAACTAGTCATTTCTACCACAGGGCCAGAAAATAGCATCTTGTTTTTTTTTTAATGAGTGAATTTACCAATATTAATTTATAACATGCCATTATTATATTATTATAATTCTTATAATATGGCTATTATAATTCATTTATAATATATAATAATACTGTTTTATATTGATGCATAAAAATCGTACTTTCCTGAATAAGCAAGTATCATAGTTGGCATTACTTGTGAAAATGCAAATTGATAATTTTACCCCTTTAGTATAGAAATACTAATCTTATTTAATTTCCATAGAAGATTCTTTTCTTTCACAAATGGTTAAAAGACAAATTATAACTCATTCTATGCAAACACTAACAAATTCTGAAATGCAGTCTGAATTAATAAGAATTTCTGTAATAACTATAGTCTTGAGTTTATTTATGTTTCCTTTGGGATAACTGGTCAAGAAAGTATAAAAATTTTAATAACAGGTGTTTATCATGAACACCTTCGAGGCAGACCGGTGTATGGGCCTCTATGAAAACAACCCTATTTCTGTAGGTTTGTAATGGTGGGATTCAAGATGTTTGATGATTTGGATTAAAGGTTTGATGAAAATCTGGTTTGTTTACTCTTTCTCTAATGTATGTTTTTTTCCCCATAGATTTCTGAAGATGACTCCTATGTCAGTGACATAAGTGATAACGTTTCCTTAGACAATCTCAGTAATGACTTAGATAATGAGAGACAGACCTTGGGTAAGATGTAAATTATATGATATCTGAAAGCTTGCATCTTCACACAATACTAACAAGCATATATAGAGTATCTGCTGCAGGCATTGAACTGTAACACATACTATATAAGAGAAGACATGCTCCCTACCCTTGAGGTTTATATAATCTAGGTGGGGAGATAGCACTCACGTGTGAAAAATGTATTCATTCAAATAAATTTGTCTGCTCATGAAAACTTCTATTTTATAAAGTGAATGTATACTAATTATCATATAAATAACAAAAATTAATCCAACAGAGACCCCTGATAATGGTCAAATATTCTCTCTGCAAACATATTACAATATAGGTTTTTGCCTTTAGGTACCTAGTAGTTTTCATGATTTAGGAATTTTATAGGGATCATGTAATAAAAAAGTCTGGTCTAACTGGTTATTTTTATTTTTTTAAGATTTTAAAGATTTTATTTTTTTAAGATTTATTTATTTGAGAGAGAGAAAGAGAGAGAGAGCACGAGCAGAGTGAAGGGCAGAGGGAGAAGCAGGCTCCCCACTGTGGGGCTCAATCCCAGGACTCCAGGATCATGACCTGAGCTGAAGGCAGATCCTTAACTGGCTGAGCCACCCAAGCGCCCCTCTAAGTGGTAATTTAGCCGTAGATTCTTCAAGATAACACATTTAAAAGTAACCAAAAAAAAGTAACTGCTACCTCCTAGAAGGGAGGATGGGGTTGTCAAGTCTTTATTACTGGTTAATCCCAAGAGCAAAATGATGCCCAGGAAATGTTAGTTTGAACCGTGGGGTATCCAGAGTGTCTCCCCAAACAGCGTTGATTTAGGAAGTCTGTTTAGGAAGAATCAGCCCATTGGACAGTTCTCTGCATGGATCCTGTACCATCAAATATTCCCAGTCCTGGTACTCAGTACGTCTCGGGTCTTGAGGTTTGTCTGTGTCACGTATTGGATACCCAGGGCACTACCTATTTCCATATCTACCCAGAGGAGAGGGACCATGTCGGTGCTTTTTCTATTTTGGTACTTCTCAGGTTAGTAAGTATGTGTGAAATATGAGTTGTTATCTGGATGCCAAAGAACCTACTCTCTGGGGACCACAAAAAAGGTAGGTAGTTTTACCATTCTCTGGCAGAATATCCTTTCAGCATCAGATCTGCTAAAAGTCCGATGCTCATTACATTCTATCTTGCTTGAAATGTTTCTGGAGAAATGAACCCTTTGGTGAAAAAGTCTGCAAACCATAATGGTTCAAAGGAGAAAGCCAATAATATAGTAGCTACTTGTTTTTCTAGAAAAACAAGGAGATGAATTGAGAGAGAAATGAAGAAACATCACATCCCCTTGATAAACAGCACGCACACTAAAATGGCATTCTGGCCGTGCATGAGGAAGTCAGACAAATGCTGAAGTCCTCATTCTCTTTGAGGCCTTAGCTAGGGGCCAAGGGGAATGCAGGGAAAGAGGGTTCAGAGGTCATAGTTGGAAACAGAAGACTTGCCCCAGAACCTAAGACCAGAGCTGTGCTGAGTTGACATCAGCCAGGAAAAGCACTGAAACTAAGGCTGGTTCTATCTTATTCCACAGCCATTTTGCTAGAATGCTGACCAACACATTGTCTTGGCTTGAACAAACACTAGGCCAAACCCAGCTTTCTTTTTCAGCAGTATTTAGAAGTAAAAATAGGTGTCCTCCCGTTTAACTGTCTCTGTTGAAGATGAGACTTCTAAACCTCAGTACTCTACTGAAAAGATTGGATGTAGAAATAATGTTTGCACATTATGACACACTTTTGCCTACAAAAGGAAATAGGGATTAAATCAAGTTCTTGATAATTAATGATACGAGAATTTTTCTGAGCCCGTAGTAAAGGCTAGATATTTAGAGTGCTTCCTATTGATTTTTTCCTCCCCAAATCAGGAGGCAAATACTAGGATCTGTCACTGTAATGGGTGCTATGGGAGGTTCAGGGTTTAGGAATATAGATTCATGACCAGGTTTCCTTGGTTAACCTCAGCTCTGCCATTCACTGGTACTGTGTTCTAGGTCAAGTTACTTAAGAGATGATATATGTAAAGTATATGTAAAAATATATAAGGTAATATATGTAAAATTCTTGAAGACCTGATGCTCCAGAGCAAAAACTAGATAGATATTGGTCATTAATTGATAGTAGTCATCATATACTGTTGTTTCAAAATCTAGATTAGTGTAATCAGAGAAAATATTTTGAGATTACATAGAGAGCTGTTTTTAAAAACTACTTTCATTTGCAGCTGTTCGGTTGGGTAAATCAGATTTTTGCTCATGTCAAACAATTAAAAAAAATTCAACAATTAATTGGATGCTTGGGTTAACATAAGACTGCAAAGTGTGACCCCAGTTTCATACTTCTCTGTTTATTAAAACAGCCTCTTTATTCAGAGCAACTGGCTTTACAATGAGTAAATGTTAAATATTTCTTTTTAATAGATAAATATATGCAAATAAAATGCCCCTTTCTCATATGTTGATGAGATTTCATTTGAAAATAGGCTCAGTTGGGATGGGAAAAGAATGTCAGAGCCTGAGCCAAAGGAAGTGTCACAAAGAAAAAGACTGGTAGATTTAAATGTTTTATTCATCAATGAACCACATGGACCAGATTTAAAGATAAATGCCAAATAGGGATTTGATTGTAAAATGAATATGAAAACAAAAAAAAAAATACATCTTAGTATATAAATAGGAAAGCAGACAATTCAGAAAAGAAGTGTTTATGAAAGCATTCCAAATCACACTAGGAGTTTTTTTTTTTTTAAAGGTTTTATTTATTTGTTTGACAGAGGGAGACACAGTGAGAGAGGGAACACAAGCAGGGGGAGTGGGAGAGGGAAAAGCAGGCTTCCCGCAGAGCAGGGAGCCTGATGCGGGACTCGATCCCAGGACCCTGGGATCATGACCTGAGCCGAAGGCAGACGCTTAACGACTGAGCCACCCAGGTGCCCCTAGGAATTTTTTTAATGGAAGTTAAAACAAGGAAATAATACTGTCCGCCCAACAATTTGCCAAAAATTGAAAAAAATGATGATAAGCCCAGAAAGATCTCAAGAGATGGACACACGTGTGCTGCTGATAAATAGGAAATTGATACAGCTTTTTTGAGGAGCCATCTGATCATATGACTCAAATGTCTAAAAATGTTTATAGTCTTTGACATAGTAATTCCATGTCTATATATCCTAAGCAAATACTCAGAGATATAATCAAATCTTAAGAATATAAATATTCAGTACTTGGTTTTTTTTTTTTTTTTTTTTGCATCATAGCAAAACATAGAAACAAATCTAAAAGTCCAACAATAGAGAAATGATTTAGTAGATTACGGCATATCCATAGCATGGAATTTTTTTACAGTCATTATACGTAATGTTTTAGGAGAATATTGAATAGCATGGAAAAACAGTTAAGGGAATAAGCAGAACATAAAACTAGATGTGCTATATGAGCTCTGGATGGAGAAAATACTACATGAAAATACTCCAGAATACAAACAGCTACTATTTGTGGGTAGTGGGATAATGGAAGACTTTTATTTCCCTTTCCATTTTTCTGTAATAAACATAATTGTTTTTATCAGAATTTGAAGTGATTTTTAAAAAGGGTTTAAAAGTTTTTATTTTAAAGATTTTTATTTATTTATTTGTCAGAGAGAGAGAGAGAGCACAAGCAGGGGGAGCAGCAGAGGGAGAGGGAGAAGCAGGCTCCTCACTGAGCAAGGAGCCCGATGTGGGACTCGATCCCAGGACCCTGGGATCATGACCTGAGCTGAAGGCAGACGCTTAATGACTGAGCCACCCAGGAGTCCCAAGGGTTTAAAAGTTTTTAATCAGGGGCGCCTAGGTGGCCCAGTGGGTTAAGCGACTGCCTTCGGCCGGTGTCCTGGGATCAAGTCCTGCTTTGGGCTCCCTGCTCAGCAGGGAGCTACTTCTCCCTCTGTTGCCCCCCTGCTTGTGTGCTTGCTCTGTCTCTCTCTGTCAAATAAATAAATAAATAGAATCTTTAAAAAAAAAAGTTTTCAATCAGCTTGAAGTGCTTTTTAAAAAATCTAAAGAGTTTAGGGGTGTCTGGGTGGCCCAAACTGTTAAGCGTCTGACTCTTAATTTCCGCTCAGGTCTTGATCTCTGGGTCAGGAATCCAAGCCCCACGTTGGGCTCCACGCTGGGCATGGAGCCTACTCAAACAAAAATTTAAAAATAAATAAAAATCTAAAGAGTTTAAAGGTATAAACAGTAACTGCTCCGAGCATAGAAATCCAGTTTCCAGCTTTATCCTAAGTGTGTTTAAGCTATGAGGCACTAGCTTCTGAGTAGGAACTTGAAGACCTCCCTGTGAATAAAGTCCACGAGTTTTAGCGCGTGTAATTTTGGGTGCTCAGCTGGGGTGCACGGAACTCTTTAATTTTCTGACTTTCAGTCCTAGATAACTGAGACTAACAGTAGAATCGAGTACTTGCTGGGTCGGGTTTTATTTCTGTGTTTTTTTAAGTAATAAAATAAAAAGTCTTCTGGAAACCACGAGGCTGATTTCCCTTTCAGGACCTTTGCTCGAAAGTGGTGCAGAAGCCAAGTCCAAACGAAGAACTTGCTTGCCGGCTCCGTGCCCCAGCGCCAGGACGATCAGCTTGTGGAACATCCTGCGGAATAACATCGGGAAGGATCTGTCCAAAGTGGCCATGCCGGTGGAGCTGAACGAGCCCCTGAACACACTGCAGCGGCTCTGCGAGGAGCTGGAATACAGCGAGCTTCTGGACAAGGCCGCACAGATCCCCAGCGCCTTGGAAAGGATGGTGAGGAGTTCACCTTCCAGCGGGGCGGTCCTGCCCCTGCGCCCGAGCCGCCAGCAGGCCACTCCCGGGGGCCCAGTGGTGCTAAGGCGAGCAGAGCCAAGCTCTCGGCTCTGCCTTGTGTCTTCTGGATTCTTGTGCAGACACGCTCATTTCTCATGAGCGTCTAGTTCCCCTGTGCCCAGCGGTTTTCCATCATGTGTCAGGATTTGCCATTTTGGGGGAGCTTCTCTGTGACAGTTGGTGCCTCTGGGTAGTTCTGCTCTGTGGTTTTACGCTTCCTTTTTCTCCAGAACCTTACAAGTGATTGTTCTGATATGCCTGACTGGACAACATGTCTTGAGGGCTGTCTGCATGTTTATTTTTTATTATCCCGGGTAGACAGAATTTAATTTCTCAAGTGGTTTTTTCTTGTCCAGGGTGAATTTCCCCTGAGAATGTTTTTGTTTATTTTGGGGTCCCACAAGCAACTAGATTTTTGAAAATAACATTTGTAGTCGAGGTTTTTACATAAGAAAGATGATTGCTCCCCCCCCACTCTTATTCTATAGAGTAAGTAAACAAAACAAAACAAAACAAAAACTCTCTTAGAAAAATTCACCTTCTGTTCGCTACTCAGTATTACTTCTGATCCCATGATGGGTCGTCCCGCGAAGGCGCCCCCAGGTGTTTCTCATCTTTCCCCTGTCTTGTGGGGTGGTGATAAGGGACCCTGGTGGTCAGATGACAGTCAAATTGGCCCTTTCTGTGACTAGCTGAGTGTCCCTCTCTCTCTTGGCTCCCTCCTGTGTTACCTGCTCCACAGTAAGGCCATTGTTTGTATGGGCGGCTGGGACCTCAGTGTCTTTCCCCGAATGCAGTCTCTGTCCTGGGCATTTGCTGATGGGCTAAATTGGAGTCGGCGCAGCCCCTGGGCTTCAGGGACCTGACCCTAAGTCATCCTCTCAGCGATGGAGGACACCATTCTTTTTAAAATTCTAAGCCTTCCATAGTTTTGACCCTTATTAAAACTTCATTACGTTAGTAATTTGAAGATGAAGGGGAAATCTGGCTGTGGATGAGAGAGGCATCCCATGTTGTTCCACAGTCTCCGGGGACTTCTCCGTCAAAGAGACTTTCTTGATACTAATGATAATAAGAGTAGGAGAGCAGAAACAAGCTCTGTGTGTTTTTTTTATCTTCTTTGTTACTCTTTCCTAGAGAATTTCTGCTGAACAAAGGGAGGCAAATAGCTTCTTTTTTTTTTTTAAAGATTTTATTTATTTATTTGAGAGAGAGAATGAGAGACAGAGAGCACGAGAGGGAAGAGGGTCAGAGGGAGAAGCAGACCCCCCGCCAAGCAGGGAGCCCGACGCGGGACTCGATCCCGGGACTCCAGGATCATGACCTGAGCCGAAGGCAGTCGCTTAACCGACTGAGCCACCCAGGCACCCTTCTAACGCAAGGGTGGAAAGTCAACATTTGTGGACAGCTCTTTTCTTAAAAAATTGACTTTGAAGATGAAAATATTCTTTTTTTTTCTTTTATTTTTTATTTTTTTTAAATTTTATTCTTATGTTAATCCCCATACATTACATCATTAGTTTTAGATGAAGTGTTCCATGATTCATTGTTTGTGCACAACACCCAGTGCTCCATGCAGAATGTGCCCTCCTCAATACCCACCACCAGGCTAACCCATCCTCCCACCCCCCTCCCCTCCAGAACCCTCAGTTTGTTTTTCAGAGTCTATTGTCTCTCATGGTTCGTCTACCCCTCCGATTTCCCCCACTTCATTCTTCCCCTCCCGCTACCTTCTTCTTCTTCTTCTTTTTTTTTTTTTCTTAACATATATTGCATTATTTGTTTCAGAGGTACAGATCTGAGATTCAACAGTCTTGCACAATTCACAAGGCTTACCAGAGCACACACCCTCCCCAGTGTCCATCACCCAGTCACCCCATCCTTCCCACCCCACCCCCCACTCCAACAACACTCAGTTTGTTTCCTGCGATTAAGAATTCCTCATATCAGTGAGATCATATGATACATGTCTTTCGAAGATGAAAATATTCTTCATGGTGTTTCATTCTTGTGGCGATTTAGACACCCTTAGGATGTCAGCTGATAGATTGGTGGACTTGACCTGGAGAAGGAGTTTGAGGGAAGGCTTTGCATTCCAGTACAATGCACCTGGAAGGGAAAGGACAGGAAGGCATTGCACAAGAACCATAGCTGTGGGTTGTTCACTGCCCTGCAGGTCAGCTCATGCCCCTGCATAGGATCCCTCTCAGGCTGCCTCATTGTGCCTGCTCCCTCCCTCCCTTCTGCCCCCAGCGTTATGAATGACACCAGATTCTGTTCTATTTTAAATTGTGAAGGTGATTCAGGCTTGATTCAACATTCCATAGAGGCAATGTGAGCTTACTGTTTAACTGGTAACCAACATATGGGGAAGCAAAGAGAGGAAGAGACCCCAGATTTCCAGAACAAAGACAGAACTGAGCATACTGAATTGGTTTTTATAAGCCATCTAGATGTTCTTTTTTTTTTTTTTTAAAGATTTTATTTATTTATTTGACAGAGAGAGACACAGTGAGAGAGGGAACACAAGCAAGGGGGAGTGGGAGAGGGAGAAGCAGGCTTCCCGCAGAGGAGAGAGCCCGATATGGGACTTGATCCCAGGACCCTGGGACCATGACCTGAGCCGAAGGCAGTTGCTTAACAACTGAGCCACCCAGGCGCCCAGCCATCCAGATGTTCTACAGTATTCTGTAGTGTGAGTGGAAAGGTGGGTCCTATTTGCAAAAGGCTTAAGAAAAGTTGTGTGACTAGTGAACATTCATGAAAGGTGCTCAGCTTCCCCCCCCCCCCCCCCCCCCCCAGTATAAGAAACCTCATGAAATGTGCTGGGAAGGGGAGGCATTGAGATTGTTACTCACTGGTAGAAAGGGGAAGTTGCCATCACTATCTAGGTTCAATGTTTTGTACCCGCTCCCCCAAAAAAGACAAGAAAAATAATGGGTCTCTTTGGTGCCCTGAAAGGGGAACTGATAAAAATGCTGAGAGCCTCACAGTGAGTGCTTATATCATGTTTATCTGTAGTCTTTCCTTCCTTTGCCTTTTGATTTTTCATTTTTTCTCCCAGAAAAGCCAAGACTCTTTCAAAGGCACCGTGCCCTGTCCTGTGGCTTGTTACAGGAAACTCAGGAAATTACTATCACAGATTTTCTTTTGTCAAAATGAGCTTGTAGGTTTCCACGGCATCCAGCTAGGAATGGTTGCTTTTCCTGAATTTTGAGGGAAGTTTGGCCTTTCTTTCTTTTTTTTTTTTTTTTTTTAATGCTCTTCTTCTCTCTCCTTCCTGATTATCAGGGTTAGAGGTACTGGACTTAGCTTAACAGCTCGAAGAAAACAGGGTAGCTCACTTGATAAATATCACCCTCTTGAAAGCCTCTCCCAACTGGCATCAGAGCAGACGGGCCATTCGCAAATGTTTGCTTCATTTGTCTCTGGGCCAAACTGAACTTTATTTAACCCTGCCGCTGTGAATCAAAGTTGGTTCGGTTGTCTCTAAACCAGAGACAGATTGTTGGCTTTCCAAAATAACCCATAAAGAGAGAAATAAAGGTTTTATTTTGTTCATGACTTTGTAAAAAAATGTCTCGGTGACAGAAAAATAATCAAGTTCTTTCCTCCCTCCTCAGGTATACGTGGCAGCTTTTGCCGTATCGGCGTATGCATCTAGCTACTTCCGAGCTGGGAGCAAGCCCTTTAATCCTCTTCTTGGAGAGACATATGAGTGTATCCGTGAGGACAAAGGCTTCCGGTTCTTTTCGGAACAGGTGGATATATACCCTTTTTGTTTGTTGCATACACCCTTTTTATCCACCTGCCCTGGAAGAGTCGCTTACTCCTTCCATTACATGTGCTTTTGAAATATTTATTGTCCACCTTTCACTGGCTTTAAAGCAGCTGAGATAATTATAGTGCTTTTACACATAAAGAGAAGGAACGATTTCCCTTGCACTGGAACCTGACCACCCGCATGAGCATGAGGGCACTAGGCATCGACGGAGCCCTCTTGTGTGGAGCCATAGCGAGACAAATTTGCAAAGGATGAAGCATTTGCCCAAACTGATTTAAAGGTTTCAAGTGTGCACCCTTACTCATTGATCTTGTCCTTCTAGAATATGAATGCTCCCATCAAAATGGGTAGCATCAACTACAGACATTATTCTTGAATTCATTCATGTATTTATTCATCCAATCAGTAAATATTTCTTGAGAATGTAACTCATACCCAGCATTGTTCCGGGTGCGGGGAGACTGCGGTGGGATGGGAGCTGGGGTCAGACAATGCCTGTCTTCATCTGATGGAGGGACATCCTTTATACTTACGTAGCCTGCATTCCTTGAAGTTCCATGAGCCTTTCCCACCTAAGCATTAGCCGATAATAATACTCGAGAAGAAAGAGCAGGGTCTCTGGAGCCAGCGTAGGTTCAGATCTGAGCTCTACCTCTCACCAGGTTTGTAACCCCGGGCAAGTTACTTAACCTTTCTGTGCCTCAGTTTCCTCTTTAAGGTGGAAATAATGACAGTGATACAGACCTCAGATGGCTTTGTGATGATTAAATGAGATACTCTCTACCACACACTCGGCGCGGTGTCTGGTACATGGAGGATGAAGTGTTACATGAGTGTTTGCAGTCATGATTAATGCATGACACCAGTTTGTAATAGTGGGATATTGGGAACATCCCAAGTATCTGTCAATAAGGAATTGTTCAGCTAAGATAGGATGCACTGATACCGAAAATAAAAAAGAATCCTCTCACCCCTAGTTAAAACAACGACCCAACATGTCCACCCTCTGCATATCCTTAAATGTCAGCCTAGGAACATTAAACACATTTGCTTTGATACATTTCTCTCCTCGCAGTTCTTAGAAAACTGAGGAAAAATGGGTGGGATGCTAGCATATTATTTTCCTTCCTCTTATCTTGCTGCCCCCTTTATCAAAAGATTTGCATTTGGGGGGTAGGAAAGGAAAGGCGGTGTAGCTGAGAGACTTAGGAGGATGGTGCTGGTCTTCACTGTCAAGGACAAGCAGTGTTCTTTGAAACTCAAAGGGAAAGGAATATATAATAATCCCAAAGCACATTTTTAGTAGATTTCCATTTAGAAGCTAAAACAAATTAAATACTGATATTGAGGAAGTGAGAGTTAAATCAGAAGATAATTCTATTCAAATTCAACTGGGTTATTTAAATACTAAAGCTAAAATGGAATGGGAATAAATGAAAATATAATTTGGTTACCATGGCATTATATGCACTCATGTAAAAAAATAACGGCCCAAAATAGCCCAGACTACAGCAGACAATCCGGAGAGGATGAATGGTGGAAGAAAAGAGTAGTAACGTGAGCTTGTGTGTAAAGCTGAGCTTCCATCCCGTGAGCCCCTGACAGGGCAGGGCCAAATACAGGATCTGCTTGCTCACCTCCAATGGTGGCCGAGAGAGAAAGCAGAGCTCCTAGACACGTGTGCACAAAGACAGAAAGAGCATTACATAACTCAGTCTTTGGTTCCGTGAAATGGATCCCCAGGAAATAAGCAAGAAAGAGATCTGGTCATTGTTAATAGTATAGGGTGTGCTGGGTGTAATGGAGACCTGCTCTCACACCCTCACCCCATCACTTCCTCTGTGTGTGGCCTTGTATAAGCTACTTAAACTTTCTGAGCCTCAATAGTGTCTTTATCTCTAAAACAGGAATGATAATGCTTAACTCCTAGGTTGTAATAAGGCCCAAGTGAAATACTACACTAAGATATAAAATACTTGCACTGAAGACAGTAAACATTCTGTACATGGTTATTGCTCTCATCTTCAGGGGCAACTCTTAAAATTCTTTTTACTATGCAGTGTTAAGAATAGTAAATACGATATATCTATTCTACTAATTCAAGTGGTTTGAAGGGCAGACTGTCCCTTCTGAGTCTCTGACAGAAAGCCAGCCATGTGGTACCACCAGTCCTGATCGTGATGGAGCCACTTCATCTGCCTGGAATTTAGCCTTATGGCCTCAGATAGTCGGTTCTTTGACTACACCCAAGAATGGATGAGTCTCCCACGGACAGAGTCACCCTAGCTAAGCCTTTAAGAAACTGACGTATAAACTAGGATGCTATTCTATGCATTTATTATAAAAAATAGACCTGTCCTGGGGACCAGAAGGCCTTGATCACATGGCCAGGCATCCTTTCTCCATAAACAGATTACTTGGGAAACCAGAATTTCATCACCAGGTGAGTGTAGAATGAGAAGGAGAGGTGGCTGTTGAATTCGAGGTGCTCAGCTGCCCACTGCGCCAGGAGTGGAAGGGGTTTGGGCCAGGGCTCTCCCTTTCCTGGCCACCAGGAGACACAACACCTCAGCCTCCTGCACTCCCTCTCCCAGCCTTGCTTATGCTGACCTGCTGACTCATTGTGCGTGAAAACCTTCTAATTTCACACGCTGACGGAGCGCGCTGGGCTTTTAGTATGTTGCATGCTGGTACCTGCCAGTGTGGCTCTTTCTGCTTCTGGCCCAGGAGGCGTCCTACCTTTATGGAGCAGCCTGACTCCAGCAGCATGCATTAACTTTCAGAGTTTGAGGCTTTCTTTGCTTTCTTGTACCTCTCTACGGTGAGTCAAGTTTACTGAATGACTAATGTAATAAGCTGGCTGGGACTCCCAAATTAATATTTTGGGTGGGATTTTACTCTAACGAGGATGTTGATGGAACCCATATATCCAAGTGAAAGGACCTGGAAGGAAACTAGGGTAACTCGGCTCTTCTATGGAGTTCTTGAGATTTGAAAATCTACATCTATCCTTTACTCCAAGGCTCTGGATGCTGTTTTGTGGTTTGGGTGGGGATGTGGTTGTTCGAAGTGGTCAGTGGCCAAAGACATTGAAGTAATCGCTTCTTCACAGAGTTTGGCTCCATCACAGCTCACTCCTCTGTATTGTCTCTTACCTAAAAGACCCCAAAATGCACCATCAAAATGACTCATGCAGTCAGAGACCAGCGAAGGCATTTGCTGTTCAAATTTTCCTCACAACAATAACCGTTAGGTTTGCAGAGTCCTTTGTGCTTTTCAACCTTGCTCAGGATCTTATTTGATCTTCAAAATACCGCTGTGTGGCAGGTGAGGTGAGGATCAGTTAGAGGCAGGGAAACTGAGGCCTAGAGCATTAACTTTTCTCAGTGCCCGCTGTTTGACTCCAGTGGCCTCCCTCCCTCACCTTTCTTGGGGTCTCTTGTAGGTGTAGTTACTGTGCTCAGAGCTGCCAGGGTCATTGGCTGCCAATGGGAAAAAAGTGTTATGTATGCTGATTGGATGGGACTTGGCCTGCCATTGTCACTTAGACCAAACTCGGGTAGGACTTTGTTCCCAGCTCCCATTATTGTCTGGGGTATGGCCTTTGTGAATACGCAACATTCAGGAGTAAATCATAAACATTCCTCTCCTGTGTTCTACCCTCTGTCTCTTCCACCTTCTCCAGGGAGGAATTTGCTTTGTGCCAAGAACTGTGATTCAGCCTTGGCTGTCTAAGCTCATAAAAAGGGGAATTCAGAAAGGACTTCCTTTTTCTCCTCAGGGACTGGGTGTCCTGCTGAAAGGTTCTTCCTTACTTGGTTCTCCTGCCCCCTGGCAGGCAGCTGACCAACTGGTTTGGAGCTTCATTGGAGACTGGGTGGTTCAGAAAACTGATTTCAGTTAGCTTTGCTTCTCTTTTTATACCTTTGGGAAAGGTTTTATATATAAAGGCTATGCAGTTAAGCTGTTACCTAGAAGAGATCATTCCTGATGGGGCTCTGGAACTTCAGTTGTCAGATCATTGTTGGAGTCGTTCTAACCATTTATGCCCCCCTGGGTCCCCCTCCCCCAGCCATGTACTGTTGAGAGTTCACGACAGAAAAGCTAAATGGAGTTATTGGAAGTTACTAACCTATAAAAGATGCAAATGAAGTCTTTTTTTTTTCCTTTGCTCCCTGGCCTCAGCCCTCCTTGCTTTTCTGTTACTCATCACGAGAACTCTGAACATACATTCTTGGACAGACTTATAAATACCATACCTATCACTTCTCTCCCTGCATGCTCACTCATGATAAAACAGCTCTCTTATCTACTAGTAGGCAGAGTTTGTCACTACTGATTAAAGTGGCATCTTATTTAAAGAGGTTATCAGAAGAGAAATGCAGGCTGTTCAAATAGAACTAGCAATTGATCAAATACAAGGCAGCTAAACCAGTTCTCCACTTATGGGTCAAGTCATCACTTGTCAATGGGTGTTTTTGTTTCTGGTTTTGGCGAGAAGCCATGGGTTTGTCAAACCAAGTGATAAACTCTGAACATGGGGGAAGAGAAAATAATTGGTGCAACTGCATTCTCCCCCCAAATCAGCCAGCATCCTTGGCATCATCCTTAATAGCTTTTTCTTAGAATCCATATCCTATTGATCAGCAGCCAGCCATTTTTCACTGCCTCCCCCACTGGTGCTGGCCTCCAAGCCCAAGCCAATGTAATCAATGACTAGGATCATTGCAGTAGACTCATTAGCTGGCCTCTTGTTTCCATAACCAATTCCTCACCCAACAGCCAGAACGATTGCTTCAAAACAGGAGCAACACCTGCTCTACACCCTCCAGTGATTTCCCCTGTCACTTGGAATAAAATCCAAAGTCCTGGCCATGGCCCCACAAAGCCCCTGAGATGCTAGCCCGGAGAGCAGGCCTCTCCCACCTCTGCTCATTTAGCGTCAGCCACACTGGCCTTCTGCCTCTCTTAAAACATTCGGAGCATTGGCCAGCCCTGAGCAGTGCCCGTGTCCTCTGCCTGGGATGCGCTTCTCCCAGTTTTCCACGTGGTGAACTTCCTTATTTATTCTAGCCCCAGACGATTCCATTGTAGAGAGTCCTGCCCCTACCACCCTGTCTGGAATAGCACTCCCACTTACCATCCCCCCATCCTCATGCCTTGCATTCTGCTCCTTAACACCTGCCACTACCGACAAATTATGTCCTTATTTCTTTATCTATCTCGCCCACTTCTGCACCAAAATGTATTGTATCCCCAGTGATTAGGACAGTACCGGACACATCAGAGGCAGTCAGTAAATGATGAGTGCCATGGGATTTCTCACCTGGCTCCTGCACCTGCACGATTTCTCAACCTGCACTCGTCCTCTTTTCTATAAGCTGCCCTTTGAGGTTGGAGGCGAGTCAGGAACTAGGTAGAATCTATAGTTAGGTCTTTGGACAGCTGCAGAAATGATGTATTTAAGGGATATTTTTCTAAATCTGAAAAAGATATACTCACACAAATACGCAAATATTAAAATGTACTCTTTCCCCATCTGCTTCTCCCCATACCATTCACCTCTTACATTAAGTACATTTAAAGCATAAATAAAAAATGATCAGGTCAGGGTGAAGAAAGTCTTGAGATATACAAATAAATGACAGGAATTCTCAACTAGTAGGGGAACTCACTGACTTTGGGCTTATAGAAAGAAAGATACATATAAATACCTGCACAGTAAGAACCATATATACTAAATTCCTGAATGTTTGGGAATCTTTACCAGTTGGAAATTGCTCTTATTTGGGATGGAGAGGAGGAGGCAGAGAGGGATGCTAAAAACCCATCTAAATTGGATTTATCCAGTAAGCTGACAGACAGTGTCTGCTTCAGGGCTGGGTCAGTTCAGACTCAAAATCAAATACCTTTCTGGGTTACATCTGGGTTAAGATGTAACGAGAATAGAAACTCAACTAAATCCAACACTAAGACAGGTTAGATTGTGCTCATCATTCTCTATTCCAGTAGATTTTAAAAAGATTTCCATCAGCAAAAATTAGATTATGAACTTTGAATTACCCCCTTTCAATGGACCTTTGAGTTAGTCAAAGCCTTAGTATAATCTTTTTCCAATTGGCTGATGCTAGGATTTGAAGAGACATTGAGAATTAGATATTAGATTTAGAGCATTTTGAAGTCAGAGGGACTCTCAGACCTCATTTTACAATGACATAAAAGAGACTCAGAGAAATTGGAAGTTCAGACTCAAAAGATTCTTTGTCCAGATATCCGTGAGATGAGATCTTAATGGTGTGTAGAGGCTTTGGGGGAGGACCAGAGCCCGGCTTTGAGAGCAGCCATAGAGAGACAACTGGGACATAAAGAAAAAAGCACTGGATTTGAGATCAGAGGACCTTAGCTTAAAGCACCCCCACCATCACTAATTAACTGTGTAGCATTGGACAGGTTCTTTGTTTCCTAATTTTTTTTTTTAAAGATTATTTATTTATTTATTTGAGACAGAGAGAATGAGAGAGAGCGAGCACATGAGAGGGGGGAGGGTCAGAGGGAGAAGCAGACTCCCCGCCGAGCAGGGAGCCCGATGCGGGACTCCGTCCGGGGACTCCAGGATCATGACCCGAGCCGAAGGCAGTTGCCCAACCCACTGAGCCACCCAGGCGCCCGCCTTATATTGCTACTTCTTTTTTTTTTTTAAGATTTTATTTATTTATTTGCGAGAGAGAATGAGAGACAGAGAGCACGAGAGGGAGGAGGGTCAGAGGGAGAAGCAGACTCCCCGCCGAGCAGGGAGCCCGATGCGGGACTCGATCCTGAGACTCCAGGATCATGACCTGAGCCGAAGGCAGTCGCCCAACCCACTGAGCCACCCAGGCGCCCCTGTTTCCCAATTTATAGAATAAGGCTAATGAAGACACAAGGTCACCATGGTAACTCAGTGGAAATACTACTCATGAGAAATGGCTAAAATTTAGTCCCTGCCCACTTCATACCAGCATAAGGTCCTGTAATTCTATATGTGTCATCTTTTTGTTTGCAAAGCCGGTGGGATTAGCCCTATTTTATAGATGAGGAAACTCAGCCCCAAAGACTTAAAAACTTGCTCAAGGCCCTTCAGCCATTAGATGATGTTGCCGAGTTAAGACCCACATCTCTGGGGCTCCAGAAGCACCCCCTTGTTCCCTGATGCGAGTTCAGCACACGGTAGATGCTCTAGAAATGTTTCATGAATAAATACCTGTTGTGAGGAAATATATCAAAGAAAAATAAGACTTCACTTTAATCTTCCTGGGAAGCTTTGTAAACTTCTTAAAAGCAGTTAAGCCAGGAAGAAAAAAAAAAAAACCAAAATCACTGATATTTGAATGTTGAGATTTATTCATCCAGAAAACAGCTTTTGAACCCACGTAAAGGTATTCTGCTAAGCACTGATTCATGTATCTGACACAATAGTTTTAAAAGGTCGAAGGTGCTTTTTTATGGGACGTATATATATTTTATGGTATAAGAGGGCTTCTTTTTATAGTTCATGTGGGTAGTATATTTATCCCAGTTTTATGGAATTTAAAGTTATTGCAGAAGAGGTTTATAGTTTGTATATACTGTATTTTGCTTTGATGTTTGACGTTTGTAGCCAGATTTGGCCACACCTATAAAATGCCAAATTCTTGATCCAGGCTGTGAACCCTACATTTTTTACTACAATTGTTTCTGTGGGAATGAATATGATCTACTTTTTTTTTTTTAAAAGATTTTATTTATTTATTTGAGACAGAATGAGAGAGAGAGAGCACATGAGAGGGGGGAGGGTCAGAGGGAGAAGCAGACTCCCTGCCGAGCAGGGAGCCCGATGCGGGACTCGATCCAGGGACTCCAGGATCATGACCTGAGCCGAAGGCAGTCGTTTAACCAACTGAGCCACCCAGGCGCCCCGAATATGATCTACTTTTAATAATCCACTTTAAAATATGCCTACGTTCTGGGGGAAGGGGCACATTCCATAGCTCCTCACCAGCTGCACTGAGGGGTGGGGGGGAGGGAAGGAAGAAGTAGGGTGCAGGTGTTGTCTTCCCTGGTTTTGTTTTATATGATCCCAAGGTTTAATAGTTAACTCCACTGTTTTCACTGCGAGCTGGTGGGGGAGGAAGGGGGAACCGGGATGCAGCATTTTGTGATATAAAGTATCTCCAAGGAGTTCAATGAAAAAAAGACAATGAAGGCCCACAGAGAGTTGCATTTTAGGACTTAGGCTTCTAAACCATTCTGGAAGTGAAAATTGCTCTGCAAAATCCCATAGGCACAGAGAGAGGGGCCACATTCCTAAGAGGCTGTGGGAACTAAAATCATCCAACAGGTAGCAAATTTGCATCTCCCACCTCATATCAGATCTGGCATTTATGTTCATTGAGACCTGAAAGATACATGGACTATTGAAATCTTTGTCTCTACTTTTCTTCGGGTCAAGCTGGTACAGTTGAAATTCCATCAGTTAAATGTGTATGTGGAATGACTTGCCTAGCCTAGCCTAGCCTAGCCTAGCCTAGAGTTCTCCACCTAAAGTGACAGGCACATACAAGTGGTTTTCACACCATGTTCCTCATTACAGCTGAGGGTCCAGAACAAGGTGAGTGATTGGAGATGTGTCACCTCCCCACTGAATGAAAACCACTGATGTAAACCGAAAATGCTGGGTTTGACCTCTGTTTCTTCCCTGTCGGTGTGTTTGGGAAACATTATTGAATTTTTCTGGTTCTGGTCTCCTCATGTGTAATGGAGGCATTAGTTAGGCTGGATGCTCTAAATGTAAGATACTTGCTAAGAACCAGCGAAATCAAAGAAACTGTGAAATGCTGCTGGCTGCATGAGTCTGGTTTCACTGGTCCTGATTTATAATCATGGTACGTACACTGCTCACTTGCCTTGCGTTACTGAGATAAGAGGAAACCCAGCTCAGGAGCCATTTTCTCTTTAGCTTCTTCATTAGTGAACGGAACAGAAGTAATGACCCCAGGGACAAAACTCAGGGAAATGTGCAACAGTCTCCGTTACAGGGGATTCTCTTTCCGGGAACAAAATTACATATTTACTCAAGATTTTTTTATCTTGACAGAAAATGAATAAAATGTTTTTCTTAGTAGTTGACTAACATTTCTTCAATAATTGCTTGGCTCTTTTTTTTATAGAAACATTATTCTTTTAAAAAAATTGTCTTAGACCAGTCTTATAGAGGATTTGAAAAGAGGCTGAGTTTTGTGATGCAGAGTTTTCAAAACAACAAAAACTGCTGAGCCAAGAATATTTTTGTGTTTCTCAGAGGTAGCATTTTAAAATATTTATTATCTGATATCTTAATTAAAACATTTGCAGGTACTTTCTCAACAGCTAATAGAGATTTTGACATGGGTAGCCAGTGTCGGATTATATGGTTTAAGAGCCGGCAGCCCTTGCTTGACCCTGCTTTTGTTTTTACATCTTTCAAAACGTGTCTCTATCCCCAACATTTGCCTCTTGGCTGTTTTTCCTGTACTTCAAGAGGCTTCCATGCACCTGATTTCTTCTCACTCCTGACAAACTTGAGCGAATTGGGACTGACTGTATCAGGAGCGCCCTCTTGAGGACCAGTTTGTTGAAGGAAAACTAAAGTTTTGATTCACTTAGACACTGCACACTGTGTTACCTCTCAAGGCAAGGGCGAAGGAATGGATTTCACGAGACACAAAAGTGAATTAAGTTTTTGTTTTCTGGCCTTTGTTTCCATCAGGTCAGCCACCATCCACCTATCTCTGCTTGTCACGCTGAGTCTGGAAATTTTGTTTTCTGGCAAGGTAATGTGCTCATGTATTTGTCCTCTGTCATTTTTTGTAATGTTATAGATCTATTTTATTCAGGAACTACTGCAAGTGCTTATTAAGATCACAAGTAGGACCCTGGACTTGAGCCTTGTTGCATGGATCTGCTCCACTTGGTATTCTTGCCTCTCATCCCTGAACAATTACCGATACTTGTCTACTTCATAATTAAGGATTCAGGAGGATAATTTAGTTGTGCCCTTAAAAAAAAAAAAAAAAATTCTTCATCTGTGTCTGGGCCACCACCATTTATTCCTGTAACTTTTTCTCTAATTGCACAGCCACTTGAAATGCCTTGTGTATTTCAAGAGACATTAAATATTTACAAGTATTTATCAGAGTCTAGACAACAGGGTTCTTTTTGCTTTTGAAAAGTTTTAATTTTATTTCTAAACAGCACGTTTTAGATTGCTGAGTTTTTTTAGTTTGGGGGTTGTTGTCTCTCTTCAGTTTGGATTTTGGATTTTGGAAGAGGGTGGGTTGTTCTGAAGAATAAATAAGACTGCAAATATTTTCTAAATGGATTAATTAATTTTATTAACTTAGATATTTATTCAAAAGGCACAGTGTACAATTTGAGGAAAATTTGAGCATCTTGGCTTTTCAAACAATGAGCACACATCAGTTTTTAAAGCATTTTTCTCTGTTAACAGTGATGACACTTGATTTACCCCTTTGCCTTAAAAAAAAAACTATGTAATTTAAGAGTTTTGAAAATACACTTTGTTAAAAAAAAAAAAAAAAAAAAAAGCTCCTTCCCCCACCTTAGTCCCCAGCCACCCAGTTCCTCTCTCTGGAGGCAAAATTCCAGGTTAGGTTACAAGTACCTTAGTACTTTTTCTGAATCTTTGCCATTAAAGGTTAGAATTGAAGCTTGATTAAAAACATCTCTAACGTTCACTGAAACCCCCTGGGAATAATTCTTATAAGATCTGTAACCTTCTAATTGCTAAATGTTATTGACCCTGTAAGCACTTTATTATTATTTTTAAGTAATGGATTAGGCAACAAGAAGGACTTTTTCCAAGTAGTTTCTGTGTGCTCCTTACCTTACACAACAGTTTTCTCCTCAGTCCCCTTCTTTTCTTCCTCATCAGCCTTTTTCCTGGGCAGTCCCACGTATTCCCATAGGCTCACAACTCCCAAAACTTGCTTTTTAATCCAATCTGACATTTCTCTGCCTTTTAATCATGTTGCTTAGGCCATTTACATTTATTATGATTATTGATATAGTTGGATTTAAATGTGGCCTCTTAGTATTTGTTGTCTTTTTGTTGCATCTGTTCTTTGTTTCCCTTTTTTTCTTTTTCTGCCTTCTTTTGGACTGAGTACTTTCTATCATTCCATCATATCTCCCTTGTAGACTTATTAGCTATACCTCCTTGTTTCATTTTTTAGTTATTACTTTAGGATTTATGTTATGTATCTTTATCATAAGTCTGTCTTCAAGTAATACTATGCCACTTCACATATTGTGGACATGTTTTATTTATGTGTGTTATAAACCCGACAATACATCATTACTGCTTTTGCTTTAAACAGTTATCTTTTTTTTGTAAAAACTTTATTGAGCTATAATTTGTATATCATACAATTCACCTAATTAAAAGGTATAATTGGATGATTTTTAGGATATTCACAAAGATGTCCAATTATCATCACAATCAATTTAAGAACATCTTCATCACTCCAGAGGTACCTGGGTGGCTCAGTCAGTTGAGCATATGGCTCTTGATTTTCGCTCATATCATGATCTCAGGGTCGTGGGACTGAGCCCTGCATTGGGCTCTGTGCTCAGTGTGGCATATGCTTGAAATTCTCTCTCTTCCTCTCCCTCTGCCCCTCCCCCCACTTGAGCTCAATAAATAAATAAATAAATAAATAAATAAATAAATAAATAAATAAAATCTTTTTAAAAAGGACATTTTTATTATCACTCCAAAACCCAAAAAAACCAACAACAACAACCCCTTTAGCTAATACCTACCCCCACCCCAACTTCCATCAACCTCTTCCATCCTCAGGCAATCCCTTACCTACTTTCTATCTCTATAGATTTGCCTATTCTGGATATTTTATATAAGTGGAATCATGTATATGTGGCCAGGGGCTGCCTGGTCCCAGCCCTATCACTCTCCTGGATCATGGCCATGGCCCCCTACTGGCCTCCCTGCTTTCACATTTGCTCCCTCGTGGTCTGTGTATTGTCATGCAGCAGTCAGAGGGATCACCTATCTCTGCCATCCTTTTTCTATCCCTTTTTAAAATTCTATTTCTAGTCTCTCTTTTTTAAAGATTTTATTTATTTATTTGACAGAGAGAGAGACAGCGAGAGAGGGAACACAAGCAGGGGGAGTGGGAGAGGGAGAAGCAGGCATCCCGCTGAGCAGGAGCCCGATGTGGGGCTCCATCCTAGGACTCTGGGATCCTGACCTGAGCCCAAGGCAGACACTTAACTGACTGAGCCACCCAGGCACCCTCTACCCTATTCTTTTTTTTTTTTTTTAAAGATTTTATTTATTTATTTGACAGAGAGAGACCCAGCGAGAGAGGGAACACAAGCGGGGGGGAGTGGGAGAGGGAGAAGCAGGCTTCCCGCGGAGCAGGGAGCCCAATGCAGGGCTTGATCCCAGGACCCTGGGATCATGACCTGAGCCGAAGGCAGATGCTTAACGACTGAGCCACCCAGGTGCCCTACCCTATTCTTTTTCTATTTCTCTCCCTATTGGTGCCACCATTTATGCAAGTGAGAAAAATATGAAATCATCTACAAATTCTCCCTGTCTTTCAGAATCTGCATCTAATTTGCCAACTAGTTCTATTTCTACTTCTTTCATGGTTCTGGAATCATTCCCTTCTACTCTATCCACTACTGTCTTAGTTCACTTCATCCTCACTTATCTCTTGATCAGTTACAGCAGCCTTGTAACTTGTCACCTTGCTTCTCATCTCTTGTGCTCCTGGTCCATTTTCTGTATTACTCCCAATTGTCTTTGCAAAGTCTGTATCTAATCACATGTGTTTTCTCTCTAAACAAACATCTTATTTCCCCCCAGCGCATACGTACCAAACTTCTTTGCCTGGCTCCTAGAGCCCACTGTTTTTGTACTCAATCTGTCTCTCTGCTCTTCTCTCTAAACAATCCAAGACCCATAGGACAGAAGCACACTCTGTTCTCTTATACCTCTCTCCCTTTGAACAAGCTGTCTTATGCCTTCTATCCCTTTTTCTCTGCCTGGTGAACTCCTGCTTATTCTTCAAAGCCTGATCTAAGTGGCCTCTTCTTTTTTTTTTTTTTTTTTTAAGATTTTATTTATTTATTTATTTATTAGAGAGCGAGCGAGAGAGAAACAGCATGAGAGAGGAGAGGGTCAGAGGGAGAAGCAGGCTCCCCACTGAGCCGGGAGCCCGATGCGGGACTCGATCCCAGGACCCTGGGATCATGACCTGAGCCGAAGGCAGTCGCTCAACCAACTGAGCCACCCAGGCGCCCCCTAAGTGGCCTCTTCTAATGCTTTCCCAAGAGTGTTGGTCATTCCTGCTTCTCTCGCTCCATTTCATCTTACAATATACTCAGTTATAACCCATGCCTCTCTGTTTGAGCATTACTTGTTTTCACTTTTGTCTGCCTTTCATACCATGAGTCCCAAGAGAGGGACTTTATCTTACAATTTTAATTTTCCGATTCTGTTCCAGATACTCAGTTGGTACTTAGATTGAATGAAAAGTTATCCTATAATGTAATGGATTTTATTATGAAGTGATTGTTCTATATAGGGATTATTTATCCAGCCTAAGAATTCTTTGATCTGTGTAGCTCTCCTGCTAAATATGTGCTAATTGGTATTTCATTTCAGATGTGAGATGGAAAAACAAATTCTGGGGCAAATCCATGGAAATTGTTCCCATTGGCACAACCCATGTGACTCTGCCAGCGTAAGTTCTTCTGTGGTTGGGAACTACACAGAACTTAGGGCCAAGATACAGCTTTAGGAATGGGATTCCCATTATACCCCATGGTGCTGAGTATATGGTTGGTTTTTTTTTCCTTTTAATTGGTTTGACAGTAAGTTCAAATGTAGCTCATTTTGACAAGCTCACATTTTCTTTCCTTCAAATGGGAATGCTACCTGGAAACCAAAGTTCCCTGAACAGAAGCTTTTAAAAACTCATTTTCACTTTCTAATGAAATCAAGAATGGTAGTTTTGCTTTAACATTGTTGTCCTACCTCACTGTCAAAATTCCTTTTAAGAAAAATATGATCTTGATCCTACAGGGTTTATTGATCCTCATTTATAAAGCAAAATGGCTTCGAGGGTGGCTTCTAGGGTGGGGCCAACAGGACTCAGGTGCTCACTTACTAACTGCAAATCCTTGGGCAGGTTACTTAACCTTCCTGATCACTAGTTCCCTCACCTATAAAATGGGAATAATAAACCACCTACTCTGCAGGACTGTTGTGAAGATTAAACAGGTAATATATGTAAAGCACTGAAAAAAGTACTTGGCCCAGAGCCTACGCCATGTTAAGTGTTTGGTCTTATTACCATTATCCTCATAACTGTTATAGGACTCTGTGAGTAGTACCTGAATACTTAACTCATCATAAAAAGGTTTAAGACATGTATCTTTTTTTTTTTTAAGATTTTATTTATTGATTTGACAGAGAAGGAGACAGCAAGAGAGGGAACACAAGCAGGGGGAGTGGGAGAGGGAGAAGCAGGCTTCCCGCCGAGCAGGGAGCCCGATGCGGGGCTCAATCCCAGGACCCTGGTATCATGACCTGAGCCGAAGGCAGACACTTAACGACTGAGCCACCCAGGCACCCCAAGACATGTGTATCTTAAGATTTATATATGATAGATATGTGTCTCTGCATATATATACACACACACACACGTGTATACATATGTACACATATAGATGTGTGTATTCATGTATGTGTGTGTGTAAAGAGAGAGATTGTGAGATCACCACACCTTCCCCATTGCCTCTTCCCTTTTCTAGTCTGATAACTTAGACAAATCACCTCTGGCTCTCAGTTTTCTCCTCTGTCAAAAGAGAGAATGGGTTTTTCCAGGAGATCGCCAGCTTCTAGTGAAATCCCTGGCAGCTTCCGGAGTGCCTGACCCTGCCCACTGTGGCCTGCTGTGGCCCGCTGTGCCTTCGTGTCTCCTCAGAGAGCGGAAGCTCACGAGGCCCAGCACGGCTTCGGCCCTCAGTCAGTGTTGGTTCCATAAATGAAGAAATGAGTAATTCATCCTGTGACTTATTTTTTTTAAATAGCTATATTTGTTTGCATTTGCTGCTGGCTCTTCTGGGAATTGTTAATGTCACTGTTTCCTCCTTTTCAGCTTTGGAGATCATTTTGAGTGGAACAAAGTGACCTCTTGCATCCATAACATCTTAAGTGGGCAGAGATGGATTGAGCACTACGGAGAGATTGTCATCAAGAACCTGAATGATGACTCCTGCCACTGCAAAGTGAATTTTATAAAGGTAACCCAGGTGGCCCCGTGAGCTCGACCCTAGAAAGGCCTTGGCAGAGCTGGGGCCCAAGGGCACAGGATATCTCAGGGAACGTCTCACCTTCCCCTTTGTGCCATCGGACAAACAATGCCAGGAGCTCCCTGGTGTCCCCCCTCCCAACGTCTCTCACCTGGATCAGGACCATGGCCCCTCTGGCCTCTCTCCTTCCACTTGTATTCCGCTATGGTCTATCCTCAAGGCAGTAGCCAGAGGGACCCTTTTAAAACATAATTCATCATGCTACAATATGGATGAACCTTGAAGACATTATGCTCAGTGTAAGAAGCCAGACACGAAAGGACAAATACTGTATGACCCCACTTGTGGGGTACCTAGAGCAGTCAGACTCCTAGGGACAAAAAGTAGAATGGTGATACCAGGGGCTGGGGGGTTGGGGAATGGGAGTTGGTGTTTAATGGACACACGGTTTCAGTTTGGGAAGATGAAAAAAGTTCTGGAAATATATCATGATAATGGTTGCACAACACTGTGAATGTGCTTAATGTCACTGAATTGTATGCTTAGAAATGGTTAAAGGGGTACATTTTGTTATGTATATTTTACTAGAATTTAAAAAAAGAAAGTCATGCTGTATATCACAGAAGGCCCCCCCTACAACTTCCATCTTTCCCAGTACAAAAGCCTGCCTCCTGACCATGCCCACAAGCCCCTGTGTGGTATGCGCTGCCCACCCACCCCATATGTTCACACACGCGCACGCACATGCACACCTATATGAACACACAAGCCTACACATGGCTGTAGGCACACACCCCTACCTATATGTGCATAGGTCTGCATGCGTGCACGCACACCCCCACTCCTTTCTCTCCAGTCTCAGCTCCCACCACCCCCTCCTCCCCTTCCTTCCCCACCATCCTCTGACCACATTGGCTCTCCTCTCTCCCCCTCCTTCTGCTTGGATCCCTTTCCCCAGATCCTTCCGTCATCAGCCCTGCCTTTTTAGTCACTTTCTGTCACATCCCATTTTCTTCAAAGTGTTTCTTCCCACCCAGAGTTAACTTGCTCACTGTTGGTTTACTTGGGGATTTTCATTTTCTGTTCCCCACACCCTCCTCACCGTCCCTGAGTCTGGAAAAGCAAAAGCCTGATCTAATCTTGCTCACTGCTGGAGGCTGATGTGTGGAAAGGCTCATGAACATTCGTAGGGTAAATGAACAGATTGGCCAAAGGCAAAAGCATGGAATAGTCTGCTTAACTTTCCAAGTGCTTTGAGTCCCTTAGATTCCTCTTGCCCTTAAAAATTTCATGTATTTAAAATGGTCTTAAAGGAGTATTTGCATTTAATTAAGGTCAAAATCCTAAGCAGAGAGATGAGGCTCTAATTGTGGAATTTCATGCAGTACCTCTCCACACCACCTATAGCTGCTGGGGGACATTATGGAGAGGTGGACTGGGGTCGTTCTTATATCCTATAATTCAGACTGGGATGTAGACAGATAAAAAGCTAATAGTGTTTGGGGTGAAATAAAAATGAACCTGCCTCGAAAACTTCATGGAGTCTCTCTGCAAAAAGAAGAAAAGGCAACCTGGAGTAGGGATATATGCCCCCGTCCAGGTGAGGGCACCTGCTTCTCCGCAGCTCCCCCCAAGAAAATGTGCTCGAGTCCCCTTTCTACCATCCACCTGGTACTCACACACTTAGGGCCAGAGGATCGATTTCTGTGGCTATGAGAGAGGAGGGAATTAGAACATTGGGTGTGCCCCCAGTGTTGAAAGAGAATCTGAAAGCAGATGTAGCCCTTCCCAGATGCACCACCTTCCTCTGTGGCATCCCACCATATTGCCAGCATTGGATTTGTCAGCAAGTATCTGTAACAGAAAATCTGACTCCTGCTTCCAAATAAACTTAAGAACCTAGACAGCATTTGTTTCCCTTTTCCTCCATTTTTACGTGAGTAGAGACCTCAGGTTTATGTTTCTGATGCAGCTCTGTGATGTTGCTGTCCTCTGTCCTTCCTCCCATCTTCCCCACAGACATAAAATGGGGAAACCAAACCACCAGAATATGGCCCCAAAATGCTGCTCAACTTTATTGGCTTCCAAATACGGATTCTGTTTTGGATGAAAATAGCACTAGGAGTTTTGATTTATGAAGTAATGCCTTCCATTCTTTCCTAGAGATTTTTTAGGGCAGGCAGGTAGTTGGGTGACTTGGCAGGGAAACGTCCACTCTAGGGAGTTCGACCCCCTCTGCTGGCCAGCTTGCGGTACTGTATAAAACCCACAAGGCTGAGCTGGACTGAGCTGCTCTCAGATCAGGACCAATCCACAGGGTAAATATGGGTCGCATCACGTTCCAGTGGATTGGATGAACAAATCTAGTTTGGGGGAGAAATGATGGGAGAAACAGAAAATTGGTTGCTTTACAAAGGAGCCTCCTTTATTGGTTTACAAAAGACTGTCTGGTTCCTGTCGAGAAAAAATATATATGAGTTACTTTTCTCTGAAATTGTAATAGAGCCATGGTGACATCCACAGAACAGCTATTCCGGGGGGGGCGGGGGGGGCGGGGGAGGGGGTTTAAGAGCCAACCGCATTACTTGGCCGATGTGTGAGACCTGAGCCTTTCCTTCTGATGTTGTATGTAACAAAAGTAGGGGGAAAAACCTGTATCTCTCACAAATGTTGATTGTTGTGTTGCAAACTATAAATAAATAAAGGGTTAGATGTTAAATTTTATTAAGTAATTAAAAGTATGATTTTAAAAAAAGCCAGAACCCGGAACTGGCAAATTATATGCAATGTAGAATCATTCCTATGGCTTTTTTTTTTTTCCTTTACTTTTGTTTCTCTCTTAATATCTGTAATAAGTTGACTCCAAAGTACTAAACTGCTAACTCTCATTTGAATCCTAGGCGAAATACTGGAGCACTAATGCCCGTGAGATTGAAGGTACAGTATTTGACAAGAATGGAAAAGCGGTGCATCGGCTCTTTGGGAAATGGCATGAAAGCATCTACTGCGGTGGCTCCTCTTCGTCCGCTTGTGTCTGGAGAGCGAGTCAGTACCCCGATTAATCAGCCTCGGGCCAGGGGTCGGGGGGCATGGCCAGAGGAACTGCGGGTGGGCTGGCATCAATGTCCGCCCTCTAGGGTCTCCAGCCTCTACCAGCTTTGAACTCTGTTCGAGCCACCAGCCCCTCTTTCATTCACTAGGCCTATCTCAAACTCATCCTCATGCTTATCACCAACACCTCAGGTGGTCTGCTAGGTCCTGGCTTCTTCATCCCAGAGCAAAGCCATGGCTCATCCACGGTTACTCTGTCCGAGGAGGTCTTTCAGGCTACACACATCACCCCTGTGCCTCTCCTGGGCGCTGAGAAGCAGTGGCAGTGAAGTACAAGAGGTCATTCTAGAGTAAGAACGAATAAAGAGAAAACTGTTACTAGACAAGTAGAGTGACCTGGGGCTTCTATAAAGTTACGGGTCGCCCAGATTCACCCAATACCATTAGCCACTCTGATCTCTCCTGTAATTCTAGAAAATACTGAGCCCTGGAAGCAGCTATGGGGAGGGCTAGGGAAGCCAAACCTTCATAACATGTCCCCCAAGACATTTTAAGACTTTTGTCCATCTTCTAATCTGATAAGTATATTTCTAAGTCTTGGCCATATTATAAATGATTATTCTGAGATACCACCATTAGTATGCTTTAGGCTGATCAAAATAAGACAAAAAACCATTCTAGTAGTAACTTAAACCATTAGGATGTGTGCTATTACTTAGCAAGTAAGGGGTTGGATGGCCCCACGGTTGTTATACAGGCAACGTTACCTTTGTCAAGAGCACAGACCACTGACGACACAATCCTCCAGTCCCAATACGGCAGTGATGTGTCCCCTCATGGATGTAAAATATTTATCATGATTCAAGACCATATCCCCATATGACAGGTCACTAAGCAGGAGAGAAGCGAGAACAAAAGAGTTGTCTTCTCTTGTGTCTCTCTTTTTTTCAGGAAATATTTACTAGGATTCCCCAGCAAATGTATCATTAAGTCTTGTCAGCCTCAAGTGGGTCCAAACCCATCCTTGAGCCACTCAGGGGCAACTGGGTAGACAGAAGAGATTCAGATGGGCTTAGATTCACCCCCAAGGGAGGACACAATGCCACATGAACAGATCAGTTTCCCATTAGCAAGTAAGAAAGGGAAATAAATGTAGGGTAAGCAACCAACAGTGTCTCTTTCACTGGGTAGCAACCATATATGGTCCCAGGGATGGCCATGAAGCCAGAATGAATTGGCACCAGTGGCCACCTTCCAAGCTTTAGAAGTTCAGAGAGACCCTCACTGTCCTTTGCTTAAAGTATGTATCAGAGATGAAAATTGCCTTCCTCTTTGGGATGTTATAGTAGCACCTTGACAAAGCACATGGTGGGTGTGAACTGTTACGCTTGTTGTTGTTGCTCACTGACTTTGGTTTCTGCCTTGGCCATGAGCATCCCTGGCCCATCTTCAAGAAGAACCACTGTCTTTACTCCGGTGGTTGGGAGACTGGGCTGGATTTTTGAAGGCACAGTAGGAAGCTTTGCTACGATTCTCATGACTAGGGTACATGGAGGATTAGAGTTAGAATTAGACAGAAAGGACTCCTGAAGCTTGGAAAACTGGGTTTGCAGAATAGTTCAGGGAAAGTGTTTGTATTCGTACATGAGAGTAACTCCTGCTAGGCTAGGAGTGGATTTTATTAGCCTGCATTTGGTTTACTCAATATGGAAACTTGGTATTTTTAGCTTGATTTTTAGTTGGGATTCAAGTTAGAGCAATACACTTGGATTAGACCACTTGGGCTGCTATAAAAAATACCACAGATCAGGTGATTTAAACAACAGAAATGTGTTTTCTTACAGTTCTAGAGGCTGGGAAATCAAAGACCAAGGTGCTGGCAAATTTGGGTTCTGGTGAGAGCGTGTTCTTGGCTTGCAGTCAGCCACTAGATCAGGGCTGCACCCGTTCAACCTTATTTAACCTCAATTCCTTTCTTAGGCTCCTTCTCCAAATACAGCCATAGGAAAGGGTAGGGCTTCAACATATGAATTTTGGAAAGATACAAACATTCAGCCCATGACAGTGCCCCTGGCCCCCGCAAACCACACCCTTCTTACATGTAAAATATTTATTCCATCCTAACAGCCCCCTAAATCTTAACTCATTCCAGCATCAACTCTAAAGTCTAAAATCCAAAGTCTCAGCTAAATATCATCTAAATCAGGTATGGGTAAGACTTGAAGTATAATTCATCTCCGCTGTGAACCCATGAAGCCAAAATGTGCTTCTAAATACAATGGCAGGACACCCGTAGGATAATTCCCATTCCAGAAAGGAGAAATAGGAAAGAAGAAAGGGGTGATGGCTACCAGATAAGTCCAAAACCCAGTAAAAAAAATGCCATTAGGGGTGCCTGGGTGGCTCAGTCGGTTAAGCGTCTGCCTTCGGCTCAGGTCATGATCTCAGGGTCCTGGGATCGAGCCCCGCATCGGGCTCCCTGCTCGGCGGGAAGCCTGCTTCTCCCTCTCCCACTCCCCCTGCTTGTGTTCCCTCTCTCGCTGTCTTTCTCTGTCAAATAAATAAATAAAATCTTTAAAAAAAAAAAAAAAGAAAAATGCCATTAGATCCTAAGACAGCAGATGATAATTTTTGGCTCAATGCCCCGCCCTCTGGATCCGCTGGGGCAGTGGCCCTGCTCCCAAGGCCCCCAAGGCTCTGGGTGGTGGCAGCATGGCAGGTCGAAACTGCAGCAGTGGCCCCACCCTTTGAAAGGTGGAGGCAGCCTCCCCCCCGCCCCTGGCCTGTGTAGTCTGGGCCTGTGGTGGGAAGGGCAGCTCTGATGATCTCTGAATCACCTTCACTCGTTCTTCCCTTTACTTGAATGATAACAACATGTTCGCAGCTGGAGAGCTGGATGGTCCCATCCTGTAGAATGGCAGTAGTCCAACAGCCTTACTTCATTCGGTCCTATTTTCTCTGTCCCCTTCACATCAGGCAGCATTTCTGCTGGTATAATCCCATGTTTACTCCTGGCTTCAGCTGAACTAGATTTAAATTTAAATATGTAAGATTTGGAGGGACAAGAATTGGTTAAAAAGAAGGGCAGGCATGGAAGAGAAGAATAACCTTGACCACTTGCTATGGGTTCCACACTACTCTAGGAACTAGACAGAGTTCCAGGAGGATTTGACATCTCTTAAATGAAAAATGGATTCGCCAGAGTGAGAGTCTTGTTCGTCCGGAAAAAATGGACCCAGGGTTCTTTTTAACGTGTTTATTATTATTTTTTAAAGATTTTATTTATTTGACAGAGACACAGCGAGAGAGGGAACACAAGCAAGGGGAGTGGGAGAGGGAGAAGCAGGCTTCCCGCAGAGCAGGGAGCCCGATGCGGGGCTCGATCCCAGGACACTGGGAACATGACCTGAGCCAAAGGCAGACGCTTAACGACTGAGCCACCCAGGCGCCCCTTAACGTGTTTATTTTTGTAAAAAATTATTTTTATTTTATTTTATTTCTTTATTTATTTTTTAAAGATTTTATTTATTTATTTGACAGAGAGAGACACAGCGAGAGAGGGAACACAAGCAGGGGGAGTGGGAGAGGGAGAAGCAGGCTCCCCGCAGAGCGGGGAGCCCGATGCGGGACTCGATCCCAGGACCCTGGGATCATGACCTGAGCTGAAGGCAGTCGCTTAACCAACTGAGGCACCCAGGCGCCCTGTAACAAATTATTTTTATAGCTTACACAGTATAAAAACTAAATGGCATTACATGAATTCCCTATATGGCCACACAAAAGAGGTCTGATCCTTGTAGGTAGAAGAAAACTTCTAGAGAAAAAGATTTATAGAGGAACATTCACCACCAGTTTGTTAGCCAGAATACTTTACTAGAAATGGGAGGATTTAGAGCTGAGAGAGAAAAATTATAGCTGATCTGAGATGAAAAAGGTGAAGGAATTAAAATGTAATGTAAATGGAAGGCAAGTTAGAGATGAATGATTTCTTTTTCTTTTAGATCCCATGCCAAAGGGCTATGAGCAATATTATGGCTTCACACAGTTTGCCCTGGAATTAAATGAAATGGACCCATTGTCAAAGTCTTTATTACCACCTACTGACACTCGATTTAGACCAGACCAAAGGTAAGCACTTTTTAAAAGATCTTTATCTCCAGAGATGTAAAACTCCTTATGAAAAGTCTTACTAACAACTCCCAGACCACCAGAGGTGCCCGAGAGAGACAGTGTCATCAGGAGTAGAGGCCTCGGGGGCCTTGCAACAATCATGTCCTGGAAGGAAGGGAGCCCAGCTTAATTCTACGGGTGGCCTGACCTTTATTCATCAGTAGAGCCTTATTTCAATCGAAATATCCGAAAAAGTATTTATTTTTAAGAGTTTTATTGCATCCAATAATACAGAACTTATTGTGTATCTGAAAGAGTGAAAAGCACCCAGCTCCCTAACCCCTCAGATTTAAATTATTTTGGTGCATAAAAATCTAACTTCTGATCCTACGTTTGCTGGCAATAAGCTGTGTAAACTTTCTTAGTCCCGGTTTCCTATTCTGTAAAATGGACATAATTATCTCTGCCCTTGGACCTAATTTAAGACTCCAAACCCAGAAAGGAAAAAAATATACATATATTTGGCTTTATTTAAGAAAAAAAAACCCTTCTTCATGGCAAAGTAAAAAATATGTATATATACATTTATATATATTTTTATATTTTTAATATATTTTTTATATTTTTGTGTGTATGTGTATGTATACATATGTGTATACATACACATATACATAAGTGTATATATACATATATATACATACCCAGAATTAAATAGATAAATGACAAACTAAGAAATCTATGTTTGCAACTCATTTCATGAATTGGTTCCAGAAATCAAGATGAACTCATTAAAAAAATGGACACAGGAAAATGAACTGTTCACAAAATAGGAACTGCAGCTCTCTCATAAACATATGAAAAGATGCTCAGTCTCACTGAAAGAAATGCATATGTTTAAAAACATGTTGACATACCAATTCTTCACCTACCAGCCAGCAAAGATTCAACAGTCTGATGTGTTCTGAGGCTCCCGGGAAAGGGAGTGGTGAGGAAGCAGGTGGGATGAGAGATGGGGACGAAAGGGACAGATTCCTCTTTATAGATACAATTTTTTGAACCACGTATGTATCACCAATTCCACAAAGAATATCTTCCCTAAGTACCGCAAAATACCATTTTTAGGGTTGGAGAGGGTTCTTATGGATAGGGAAGCATATTGAATCTCCAGTTCTAGACACAATTCGAGTAGTCACAATGACAGTATTTTCTTGGCATTTGTGTTCCGTTATTTTCCCCCTCACTGCCCCAGGTTCCTCGAAGAAGGGAACATAGAAGAGGCTGAAATACAAAAGCAGAGGATCGAACAGCTGCAGAGAGAAAGGCGGCGGGTCTTAGAAGAAAACTGCGTGGAGCACCAGCCCCGGTTTTTCAGGTGCGCGCGCCCATCACGCGGGTCCTGGGCTGACAGGGACTGGCGACACCTGAGGCTTCTGGACGAAGGGAGGGGACGCCCGCATCCCCTCCCCAAATGCGAGCGTTCTTGGCGTCTTTCTTGATCCGGAGTGCTAAAACCTCTCCTCTGGAAAAATGGCACGTGCAAGGAGTCTAATGCTTGGTTTGCAGAAGTTCCAGAACACTTCAGTTTGGATGTGGAACATTTACTATTCATTTTAAAATAACTTGCCATTCAAGGTCTTGTTAAAAGTAGACGTAAGGATTTAGAAGGGGCGGGGCACCTGGGTGGCTCAGTTGATTAAGCAACTGCCTTCGGCTCAGGTCATGATCCCAGGGTCCTAGGATCGAGGCCCACATCGGGCTCCCTGCTTGGCGGGAAGCCTGCTTCTCCCTCTCCCACTCCCCCTGCTTGTGTTCCCTCTCTCGCTGTCTCTGTCAAATAAATAAAATCTTAAAAAAAAAAAAAAAAAAAAAGATTTAGAAGGGGCATCAGAGACCATCGGCGCTCCACCCCCTTTCATAGTAACTGAGAAGAAATCTACAGAAGGCCCCAGTGAAATGTCCTGGACTGGGGCCTGGCCCTCCTGCCTACATGCCAGGGCTCTGTACGGTTTGGGGGGCTTTTTTGTTTGTTCCTTAAAAAAATAAATAAACAAACGAGGCCCACAGAGGAAAGCAGCCGATTCTTGCCCTGCCGGTTCCACCCCTCTCTTACTTTTCAGAGCAGCCAGAGCTTTGTTGTTTGGGTTTTTTTTTTTTGTTTTTGGTTGTCATTGTGTTTTAATGGACCACAGTACCTCCTAAAGGCTCACCAGTAAGGTACCTGTTAAATTGTGGTCCATTTCTACAATGGAATATCATGCAACTGTTTAAAAAGAAATCAGGATTCCCTACTGCCGGAGTCACCAAACTTGTCCTATAAAAGACAAATGGTAAATATTGTTAGCTCTGCAGGCTGTAAGGTCTTAGTGGTAATTACCCAAGCCCACTGTGCAACATAAAGGCAGCCATAGACAATAGTGAAGCGAATGGGCATGGTGGTGGTCCAGTAAAAAGGGATTAAGGTTAAAGGGGGATCTATCTATGAATAAGTCACAGAGATGAACAACACGGCACAGGGAATGTAGTCAATAATATTATAATAATGTATGGTGGCAGATGGTGACTACACTTACTGTGGTGACCACTGATATAATGACATGTATAGAACTGTTGAATCAATATGTTGTATACCTAAAACTAATATAACATTGTATGTTCATTATACTTCAATTAAAAAAAAAAAACGCAATAATACGAAGGTAGGCAGAAGGCTGGATGTGGCCGTTGGGCTATAGTTTGCTGACCTTATTGTGACAGTGGAAAATGATCTCCAGTAGATATTGTTATGTCAAAAACTCAAGGGGTAGGACGCCATCCAGGGCTGTCATTGTGTAAAAAATGGGAGAGGGGTGGAGTGTGGGTGTGTATGCATGCATGCTCATACATGCATGAAATTTCTCTGAAAGAGTGAAGCTTCTAAGATCGTTGCCTCTGAAGAAAAAGGACTGGAGTCTGGGAGATAGGAATAGAAAGAAGACTTCTACTATCCACGCTTTTGGACCTTCTGAATTTTTATCTATCTAATATATTATCTATTCAAAGAATAGTGAACCAAGAGTCTCCTGACTCTTACGTCTTCTAATTCCTTCTGTTTTTAATGCTAACTTATAACTTGATATGAACAACCTGGTTGATTTGTAGCTTTTACATAGTCACACCCAAGGTGGTGGCCGTCATCCCAGCCACGTTTTATGTATGACAGACTCTTCCCTTATCCATGCTTCTCTCAGAAGCACCATTTTTCGCAGCCTCTAAGTTTGAGAAGCCGAAGTCAGAAGTAACAAAATCGTTTCCGGGCTTCCTGTTCCCTCACAGTCCCCGTATGAGACTGTCAGGGATATTGTATATGCACATGGAATGACAGCCAGGCCCAGGGTGGGGGGGGGAAGAAAAGAGGGAAAGGGAAAGAGGGGTTATGACAGTATTTTCAATAGCCTTCAAGAAATTCTTTTTATCTTTTGCAGAAAATCCAACGATGACTCCTGGGTGAGCAACGGCACCTATTTAGAACTTAGAAAAGATCTTGGTTTTTCCAAACTGGACCATCCTGTCTTATGGTGAAAAAGGAAAGAAGAATGATACACCCTTCTACTTCTCCTGTGTTTGCTTTCCGAAGCCACACACCTGTGTCTGTGTATTTAAAAGAAATTACTTAGAATGATCGCCTGTGCTTAGCTTAGCATTGTAAGTATTTAAGTATGTATTTTCTTCAGTAGGTTTCTTTACAATTTCAAATGTTATCACGATTGTTTATATGAACGTAGAACACCTTGATATTTCATTTTATATATAAACTATTTAATAAAAATGAAAGATTGAATGTTAACGTGTGGGTTAAAAAAGAAGCTTTAACACTAATTTTCCAAAGGTTAGGAAAATTCAAATTAAATTTATGCCTTATAAAATTGTGTTGGAGAAAAAAATTTATCTCTCCCAGGTGCATTAAGAAATACGGATACCCAGGGTTACTCACTCATGCATAAGCTACCCAGGTTTAATTTGGTAGCTCAGATATCTTTTTGCCTCCGACAGCTCTTGAATTGCTCATACAGAACAATTCTGCTGGTGCTGGAGTCTGAAGAATATTTGCATTTGCATTTTGGTGGTTGGGAGGATGGTATAAGATTAGTGGAATGTGTGTTTTTCTATCAGATAGATATGGCACCTTCCTGAAGAGGAGAAAGCATTTGAGCTCATCCCTCACTAGAGGAGTATTGCCTTATGTGCAAAAGTGTACCCTGTTAGGCAGAGAAATTGTCATCAGTCTGAGAAATTCCCATTAATTAAATGCTATAGGGGCATCCCAGAGACACAGTAGGAGATTTCTCCTTAGTGAGAACGGAACTCTTGACAAGTTAAACTGTTTTTCGCATCTCACTCCCACCCCCAGTTTCCCCACACTTTACCACAGCTCTGTTGAGTATGGAATGTTCCAGTTTAGTCTAAAACGTACAGTGCATTCCACACAACAGTTTGACTTTCTAAAAGTTTAGCAAAATAACTGATTATTTTAAATAACTCAACAAGTTTTTCTTAAATACTGTTTTGGTGTTTTCTACCTCTTAATAACACCATATTTTAGATCTTGTATAAAAAGTTTGACCATCTGCCTTATAGATAAATGTAGAGAATTGATGTTCTTCCTTTGTGTTGTGTTCTGATAAAGGTTTGACTTATCTCTTTCCTATACTTCTTACTCATTTCACTCTTGTGAGTTTTGCAGCAGTCTTAAATAATACAGATTATAACTACTAGAAGGGGAAACTTTGTCATTTTAAATGTTAAAGTACAATAATACAATTTGTGCAGTAGTTGAAGTGTTATCAAAGCAATGCCAACTTCTGCCCAGATTACATTAAAACCAAAGCCTAATTTTTAAGCCTTTTACTCTGATGTCCATAATAATCCTATGGAATATCAAGTATAATGGTGTAGTAAAAAGATTTCTCCAGAAAACACTTAACGGATATTTAAAGCATTTCAGAGCATGTAGAATTCTATGAATGAAAAGTAGAATAATAATGGTAAAAAAGAATGCATGATTTTTTCAGGGTCACACCAAATAACCAAGTAGTTGGACAGCATTGCATTTTCAAAATGGAGAGTTTTAAAGTGGGTTAGTAGCCTTTTGGAATCTGCAAGTGATTAGCATTTAAAAACAATACATAGCTCATTAAATATGACATTCATTCCTTCCAAATCAAGGAGTCAAGATGAATACAATGCGAATATCATTTCCATTTCTAGGCAGTTTCGATGACACCATCAAATTCTTTGGTATATATGCTTTGTTCTTTTCTTTTCAAGCATGTATCCAAATTCTCCTCACAGACAGGAAAAAGCAGGCTGTAGATTTAAGGATACTCAAGGGAAAACCAAATCTAGTTTTCAAATTATGAAGGAAAATGTAGACTTTTAGCAATACTGACTACCAAACAGGCCTCCTCTAGAAGCTGGCTCCAGAAAGACAAACAAACAAACAAACAGAAACCCAGCACAACAAAAACAAGACATGCAGCCTGAAGGCATGTAGCTCTGTCATACAGTATCTGGGAATTTTTTAATTGTCCCACTGCTGTTATTTCAATTGACTTTATGCTTTATTTTGGAATCACAAGGATAAATGGACCAAATACCACCATTGTAGTCATCTTATTTGAGATGGAAGTGGTGATAAATTAGAATATGACACAGAACTATATGCAAATTTAAAAAGCTACGAGTCAGTACCAGCCCTATAAAGGGCGTTTCTGAAATTTAAACAGCTTAGTGATGCATCCTGTTATTAGAGTCTTAAAACTACCTTGAGGGGGAAATGGCTTCTTTCTTCCTTCAGTCCCTATCCTCAATAGCACCTTCCCATCTCATTTGTGTTTCTGGGGCATTTTCTACTTTTAAGACAAAGAAAACTGAAACATGGCATTCTTTGGGAAGAATGGAGGTAGAGTTTAACTTTCTGGACTTTGAAAACCCCAATTCAATCATTGCAATCACTACGCCATCTGAGATACATGCTTAAACCTCCCTTTTCTTCCTGATTATTCCATCCCAAATTGATGGCAAATTAACATATATATTCTTGGAAACGGGACTGTGAGCAGTCGACTACCTTGTACTTCATATGTGCCCGTGGCCTCTATTGATTACCCCAAGCTGCAGATCATTCTGGAAGAGTCCAGCAGCCTCCTGTGTAGCCTGGCAGCAGATCCCTTCCAGCTGCAGGCGCCAGAGCCTCGGCTGGTATTTCCCGGAGTCAAATGTAATCATCAGAATCCCAGCACGACTCTCCCTGCTCTTCACCTCCCAGAAGTCAGGCTGCTTCCGGGACTAACTGAACAGCCAGAGTGCACTTTAGGCCAACAGTCCAATCCTCCATCAAGTCCCTAGAGTGCCCCAATAGCCCACAGTCTTTGTGTGCTTCCTGTGGGGCTCTCTGGAAGAGAAAAGTATACAAGCTAAAAAAACAAAACAAAAAAAATCTCTTCATGTTTACTTCATTTGAACTGCTGCTTTTCTCATGTTCTACCTTTAATTACTTCCAGTAAATCACTTGCTTGGGCTTCAAGGACTGTCCCTCATCTGTATTTTCCAGATTTATGATGAGTGGTCTTGTTCTACTATAAACAGTGTCAACCCTAAAAGAAAAAGAATAAAGTTTTTATTTGGCTATTGAACCTTGCTGTAGGCCTACCACATAGTCCATGAGTTAATTATATTATGCCCTCAAGCTATCATAGAATTTTCTCCGGCCTTTTAGTTATGAATAGGAGCAATAAAGTTGTTCTTACGATGTTAGGAATAATAGTTCCAATGTATTGGCATAATTCATTTGAATGTCTTTCATTTTGATATTAACATTGGCATAAATCTATTTTTGCTACCAGATGATAGCTATTTTCATGCGCTCAACTTCCCTCTGCGTTGTATAAATCTGTTACTTGGTGTTAGTCTTTATTTTTCTGTGTTGGAAATATTTATCACAAGAGTATCTTTAAATCATGACAGAAAATGCAAACCATTTTCTGAGACTTTTGTTTTGAGTTACGCAATGATAAGTTGCTAATGATGATTTTATCTTCCTCCATTACCCTCAGAGGATACTTTAAAAAAAAAAAAAAAAAAGGATACCTGTTAATCTTCTATCTAGCTGTGTGTAAGATTATTTTCTGTTTAAATCCCACCCTTCCGCCTATATACCCCATTCTCCCCAAAAACTTCGTACTCATTTGTTTATCCCCCTCATGTAGCTAGTTGACGGTGAATAAACAACATGGAAAAAGGGCCACCTTTGTCTTTGTTTTTCCAGGTTAATGGGTATTAGTGGCTGCTGAAGGGGAACAAGACGCTAAGCTAGGCTCTTTTGAGGAAGAAACATGCCTGGTTATCTAATGTGATAGAGATTTGAAATAAGAATACCCTGGGACATAAACTGGGAAACCATAAAGTTGCCATACTACAAATGTAGGTCCCTCAGCCCTTAGGAGGGGGACCTGAGGCAGCTGGAGCCCCAGACAGCCCCCAAGGAGCGCCCTGTGTTTACCCCAGCAGACTATGGAAAGAGGTTTTTCTGTGTGCCCCAACACGAAAAAGGAAAACGCTGACTGCTCATACCAATTTAATGGCCCTTATGAATGACTGACTCATCTCCTCCTCCCATATGCAAGTTGTGTCCTTTGCAATGCCAGGAACATTCTTAGCCTCCACTAAAGACCCACCCGATTCATTGACATATTTATCATGGTACATGAGACAGTGGATCACAGAATTATGTGCATAAACTCACATCTCTGTATTCCTAAAAACACTTAAAGAGACAACCAAAAACAATTTATGAAACTTGATTGGATCCTGGCTTAAAAGAAAAGAAAAATAAGGTATAAAAGACATTTTGAAGATAATCAGTGAAATTTGCATGGAAACATAATGCAATTCTTGCCAATTTTCAAATATGTGTTGTTGATATTGCCTGTTGATCTGAATCAAATCTGTCATCAGAGGGGGGCCATTTTCCAACATTATTCAAAATAGGGTTATGAACACTAAAGAAAATCTTAACAAGCAACCTCAGAATATTTTAACATGTTAGCCATTGCTGAAATAGGTCTTAAAGCATCCTAAGGTGTCAGCTTTGAGGAGGCAATCAAATCTGGAGGTACGGGTTCCAGGCCATTGGTTTACAAACTTAGTCATACAATTTTCTACCAGCACTAACGTGCTTGATGGCCACGAGTAACCCGCAAATCAAGACATCACCGTCCTCCTCCACACCCAGACAAGGGTTTCTTTTCATGGACTTAGTAGTTGGGGTCCCTGCAGGAAACCGAATCTAACTCCGGTAGTTCAAGAGAGGAAAATGAAGGGACTACTTGCGGGCTTCTAGCAGATTGAAGGCATATTATTAACAGCAGGAAGTTGTTACCACCACCTGGAAGTAGCTAGAGCTCCAAAGAGGGGAAGGGCCAGCGGCAGCTGGAGTGGAGGGACATTTGGCCTCTGCTAGAAAATCCAGCCCAGAGGAAGTTAGAACTATCCCAATCTCTGTCTCCTCTGGCCGCCATCCTGGTGGCCGAACCCATGAAGCCCAGAACTAACAGCTCAGCCCCCAGGGCAGGGCAGCCGGGGCGGGGCGAGGCGGGGGTGGGAGGCTCGGCAAACAGAAGAACAAGCATCTGGATCTTATATTGACTGGAGGCGTTCACGTCTGGGCTTTGAGAGGAATCTTCAGTAAGTAAATAGGCTTAAGCGTCTTTTTTTTTTTTTTTTTTTTGAGAGGATAGAATTTGTTAAATTATTTTGGCTCCTAGTTATTTTACCAAGGATGAATTGTAATTAACTGTGCTTTAAAAAAAAAACCAACAAACTCTGGTTCTCTGTGATATGGCTATTGTCAAATTTTTGATGAGCTAAGGGCAGCCTCTCTTCTTTATTAAATGCCATAATTTAAACAGATACCAGACTAGGAAAGATCGATCAACTTCAGCAGTGATTCTCAACTTTGGATAATGTGCTGGTGGGGGTGATTTTATACACAAACACACACACACACTTCCCAGAGAGCCCCACATACTCTGTTCACCAGCATTTGCTCACCACTGAGCTGAGACACCACCTTCTAACTTTATGATTGTTCTAGGGCTTTAGAAGTAGCATGTTGGTAACAACTATGTTTCTTTTCATGAAATGTTACATATTGCTTTTGTACCATCTTGGAAATGTCAAGATAAGGGCCTTGTCACCCCTTTCTCCTGTGACGCCTCATGGGTACTGTGCAAAAGGGGTTTGCACACAGAGAGCAGTCAGCAGCTGCCGGGATGGATTCTTTGAAAACATTTGCCCAGCCAGGAGTGGTCCCAGACACTGGGACTACACAGTCCTCCACCTTGAGGAGTTTCCGGTCTGGTGGGGAGCCGGTAGGTTGGTCAACAACCAGTGTGGTAAGAAGGCTCTATATAGAGGACACCTATGTGCTGAGGGGAGAGGTGATGGGGCCTCACAGATGTGCGCTGAAAGGAGGGACAGACCTCAGACAGTGAAGAGAACAAGAGGGCTTGGCGACAGGGAAGGGGTGGGGGGGACGTGCCACGTATGACTCATGGTTCCTCTCCAAGCCAGTGAAGCTACAACACTGCTTCCCAGCTAACATCACAGTGAAATTTTTGATGTGTCACAATAGCTGGGGTTTCCTCCGCCTGGAGCCAGGAGGTAAAGGGTGGGGAGTCCTAGCAGACAGCACTGAAGGGACTGAAGAAGACCATCCCCATTTAACAGATGAGTTCGCTGAGGACCAGAAGTTATGCAACTTGACCCAACTTTTCATGACTAGTCAATAGCAGTCTGGGGACATACTGCTGACTTGTCCAAATCTAGCTCCTTCTGCTACAGAATGAGATGCAAACAATGTGACCCCAACACGCTTGTCCCTTCTCAAGTGTTAAGAACTTGTTTTCCAAAGGTTTCATCAGGTCTTTGAAGCTGACACAGGCAGTTCAAGGACGGGAAAGAACCGTGGGATGGGCCTTGGGAAACCTAATTCTAGTTAGTGGTGAGACCGTAGGTAAGTCGCTTACCCTCTACAAATCTCGTTTAGCCCCAGCAGCAGATGGACAGATTATCCTTAAGTTTCTCTCTATGCTGCCACTTTGTGATCTCAAGAATAGGTGGAAATGTTCTTCAGTCGATCAACAAATATTCACGAGCACCAAGCGTGTGCCAGACACTGTCCTGGCCCTCACGGAGCTTACCTACAAATTGCAGAATCTGCTTTAAAGTATTCTTTTCTATTTTATCCTGAAAGTGGGAATTATTTCGCCCCATGGAAGAATGATGTCACATATTCAGAAAAAGCTGTCAGCTTTTGAATCATCATGCTTTTCTGGAATTAAAATTATCCAAGAGTGAGCAGTTGTCACAAAGCCTATTGAGAGGGTCCTTTGCCCACATTCATCCAGCCAATGATACAGAATGCAGGAGAGAGAGGAAAAAATTAAGTTTCTGTTTTCCTGGAGGTTAGAGTCTCATGGGCAGAGGGTGGGGTGCAGACAGGAGCACAGAAACAGACAAATGTGCAGTGTAACAGACACACGAGTGTGGAGACAGACACGCAAGCCCGGTGGGGAGGCAAACCTGGAGGATATTGCTATTTTATGTTACATGGAGTGGTGAGGGTGGGAGCCAACACTAAGCTGACAGGGCAGACTTTTAGTGCCCATCTCATGGGTCCCTTTGTGCAATAGCCGTTTCTATCTGCTCCAGTAGGCTTTAATGAAGTCTGTCCAATAAGGCTTTACTTTTAATTGAAAATTTTAATGACATAAAAACAAATATTGATGAGTGGCGAAGACCTGGTCATCAAATGAAACCTAGGGTTTGCTTCAAAATAAAATGGTGGTGGCTGGGAGGGAGTAGGGATGGATGCAGATGAAACTGAATTGTCCATGAGTTTGTAATAATTGAAGCTGGATGGTGGATGGTTATGGGAGTTTATTATACTATTCTGTCTTTGATAGATATTTGACATTTTTCTTTTCTTTTCTTTTCTTAAGTAGGCTCTACATCCAATGTGGGGCTCGAACTCATGACCCAAAGATCAAGAGTCGCATGCTGTACTGACTGAGCCAGCCAGGCACCCTGAAGTTTGACATTTTTCATAACAAAAAGTTAAAACAAATAACCATTAAACTCAGCAACTGGCTCACAGTGAGAGACAAAATCCATCTTTCCATTTCTGAGTCTTCTCTTTTCCCAGAAGCACCACCACCATGACCACTGTATTAGTCACATAGGATTAATCAGCACGACCAACGTGGCCAGCACCCAGGAGCTCTTCCTTGCCACAGCACATCCTTAGCAAAGACTCCAAGAGGGAGGCTGAGGTTGGGGCAGGTGGTGGTGGTGGCGGCGGGGGACTACGCAGTAAGGGAGAAGCAACCTTGAGCCACACTTTGCAAGCTTGAAGAATCATGGAATTCTAGATGTTTCACAAATTGTGTTGATTTTGCATTGCAAACACTGTGATTTTTAGGCAAATTATTTAATCTCTGAGCCTCAGTTTCCAAGTCAATGAAAAGAAGATAACCACCCTGACTTCACAGCACAGAAGTAAATAAAATAACACGTAGAAAAGGATCTAGCAGACTGTCTGCCACACAGTAGATGGCCATTATTCATGCCCTTCCCTTCTCCTGAATAATTAGGAAAGCTCTAAGAAGGTCTTTGCCTTCCTAGACTTAACACAGAGGTAGGAAGATAATGTGTCCATATAATATTGTGTAACAGAATGAGAGAACAATTACCATGAAACCTGGTATTGGAATTCCTCTTAGGAGGAGAACTGTCTTCATCGGGAAAATTAACTTGAAAAAACACCATGACACTCCAAGACTATGGCTCGGCAGAAGACAAATCACAGAGACCGTAAAATGCCAGCACCCCCTATTGCGTAATTTTTATTTATTTATTTATTTATTTATTTTTAAAATATTTTATTTATTTATTTATTTCACAGAGAGAGACACAGCGAGAGAGGGAACACAAGCAGGGGGAGTGGGAGAGGGAGAAGCAGGCATCCCGCTGAGCAGGGAGCCTGATGTGGGGCTCGATCCCCGGACCCTGGGATCATGACCTGAGCCAAAGACAGACGCTTAACGACTGAGCCATCCAGGTGCCCCCTATTACATAATTTTTAGTTGCTTGGTTTTGTTTTCTTGTAAGCTCTTTTTATTTCCCCAAGCATTTAGTAACATCTTCCACACACACATGCTTTGTGGAGGTGATATTTGTGT